TACAATCACTGCCATCATCACTACAATCACTGCCATCATCACTACAATCACTGCAATCATCACTACAATCACTACAATCACTGCCATCATCACTACAACCACTACAATCACTGCCATCATCACTACAATCACTGCCATCATCACTACAATCACTGCCATCATCACTACAACCACTACAATCACTGCCATCATCACTACAATCACTGCCATCATCACTACAATCACTGCCATCATCACTACAACCACTACAATCACTGCCATCATCACTACAACCACTACAATCACTGCCATCATCACTACAATCACTGCCTGGGATCACTACAATCACTGCCATCATCACTACAATCACTGCCATCATCACTGCCATCATCACTACAATCACTGCCATCATCACTACAACCAATCACTGCCATCATCACTACAATCACTACAATCACAATCACTTCACACTGCCATCCACTACAACCACTACAATCACTGCCATCATCACTACAATCACTGCCATCATCACTACAATCACTGCCATCATCACTACAATCACTGCCATCATCACTACAACCACTACAATCACTGCCATCATCACTACAATCACTGCCAGGATCACTACAATCACTGCCAGGATCACTACAATCACTGCCATCATCACTACAACCACTACAATCACTGCCATCATCACTACAACCACTGCCATCATCACTACAATCACTGCCATCATCACTACCACTGCCATCATCACTACAATCACTGCCATCATCACTACAATCACTGCCATCATCACTACAATCACTGCCATCATCACTACAATCACTGCCATCATCACTACAACCACTACAATCACTGCCATCATCACTACAACCACTACAATCACTGCCATCATCACTACAATCACTGCCAGGATCACTACAATCACTGCCATCATCACTACAATCACTGCCATCATCACTACAACCACTACAATCACTGCCATCATCACTACAATCACTGCCATCATCACTACAATCACTGCCATCATCACTACAATCACTGCCATCATCACTACAACCACTACAATCACTGCCATCATCACTACAACCACTGCCATCATCACTACAATCACTGCCATCATCACTACAATCACTGCCATCATCACTACAACCACTGCCATCATCACTACAATCACTGCCATCATCACTACAACCACTACAATCACTGCCATCATCACTACAACCACTACAATCACTGCCATCATCACTACAATCACTGCCATCATCACTACAATCACTGCCATCATCACTACAATCACTGCCAGGATCACTACAATCACTGCCATCATCACTACAATCACTGCCATCATCACTACAATCACTGCCATCATCACTACAATCACTGCCACTACATCACTACAATCACTGCCAGTATCGCTACAATCACTGCCAGCATCACTACAATCACTGCCATCATCACTACAACCACTGCCAGCATTGCTACAGCCACTGTCCGTATCTACTACTACTACAACTACTAGTACTACTACTACTTCAACTATTACTACTACTACTACTACTACTACAGCTACTACTACAACTACTACTACTACTATTACTACTACTACTACTACTACTACTACTACTACTACTACTACAACTACTACTACTACTACTACTACTACTGCTACAACAACAACTACTACTACCATTACTACAACTACTACTACCACTACTACAACTACTACTACCACTACTACAACTACTACTACTGCTACAACAACAACTACTACTACTACCACTACTACTACTACTATTACTACTACTAATACTACCACTACTACTACCACAACAACTACAACTGCTACTACTACAACTACAACTATACTACTGCTTCTATGACCCGAAGATCTGGGTAAGAATTGGCCTTCAACAACCTAATGCTTGTCTTTCGATCAAGGGGGTCGGGTGGCCAGGCTGGATGACATGACTGATGCATTTCATCGTTTCGCGCAAATGATACTAATGATGTCCGTCACTGGATTGGTTGGTCCGACCGCGGTGGTATGGCTGGAATATGGCGGTGTGAGACGTCAAACAACAAACTACCGCTGCAACTACTACTACCTTGGTACTACTACCATGACGACTACCACCACTACCGTATCCCACCAATGTGTTTACGTGTTTCATCACACCAGAAAGCCAAAGACATATCCTGCCTTTATGTTGACTCTGTTGCGGAATTCGATGCTAATCTCGGCGGGCGGAAGCATGCAAATGTCACTCTGTCACGCACAAGAGCAGAGCAGAGTTTCTTACTTGCTGAAAGAATGCACGTATAGGGATATAGGTACAGGAAACTGACTTAAGTGCACGCTAACGATAAGATTCAGTGAGTTTAGTTTCCGCCGCTTTCAGCAATATTTCAGCAATATTATGGCAAGCGACACTAGAAATTGGCTTCAAACATTGTACCCATGTGGGGAATCGACCCTCTTTTTCGAACACTTTTACCACTGGGCTACCCCATCGCTCCTGAACGATAAGAATTCTCAGAATGTCAAGCAGGCCCCGATAGGACAACCTACCTAAGTTTTAGCCAGGTGCCTCCGCTGTTCACGCTAATATCTAGCAATATCATCTTGTATTTTTGATCAAATAACAGCATATGTCTCTCATTCTTCGTCATCCACCTGATCGAGTGAGTGAGTGAGTGAGTGAGTGAGTGTTCTGCCTATATGTATTATTCGAACTTTGGCCAGACAAACTGATAGCGCAACATCTACATTTATGCCAACTTTTTATGCCTCCATATACGCGAAAACATTTAAAAGTCATTTGTTATATAATATTCACGTGAACAATTATAATAAATTCACAGACAGCTTGCATGATTAATTATTCGCAAAGTGGAGGATTTAGATGTGAAATCTGTGGCATCGTTGAAAAAGTCAACAAAAATAATCTCACAGACTGCTTAATTCATGAAGGCAATTGTAAACATCAACAGGAATTCCGTGATATCTTCAGTGTCAACAATAATAACCTCACAGATTGTTTGTTTTATTATCAGTAGATAAACTAATCTAGGGCAACAAATCAGTGATATGGATCCGCGAAATATTACACCCCAAGCTCCGCCCTTACTAAATGAATGAATAAATAAATAGACAGAAGAAAACAGTTGTTCACCCATGAGTGAGAATAGTTTTATGACGCATTTAGCAGTAGTCAAGCAACATCACGGCGAGGGACACGGGCCGGAAACGTGCTTCACACACTGTACCCATACAGAGAATTGAACTCGGGGCATCGGCCTTAGGAGTACACGCTTTATCACAAGGCCACTCCAAAATCCCAGTTCGTTAATAATTTTCTCAGTTTGAAATATTTGTCATTTATCCTGGCATAAAGGCATTTGAGTCTTTCTATTTCATTCAGTTATAACATATGAAATATTTATCCTTTAACTGAACACCCGAGAAGATCCGGGTTATAACTGGTCTGCAGCAACCCATGCATGCTTGTCGGAAAAGGGCACTAACGGGATCGGGTGGTCAGGCTCGCTGACTAGGTGGACATTTCTCATCGTATCCCAATTGCGCAGATCGATGCTCATGCTGTTGATCACTGGATTGTCTGGTCCAGACTCGATTAATTACAGACCGCCGCCATATAGCTGGAATATTGCTGAGTGCGGCCTTAAACAACAAACCTTTAACTGAAAGAGCTGGCGAATCAGATGTGTAATGATGGAGACGTATGATTTCAAAACAAACGTGTTAGACAAAGTACATATATTTTGATGTACGAAAAACTTTGCTCATTAACATGTAATGACAGTATACAAGTTACGCCAGGCAGCTGTCACCTGCAGATCGATAAACGGAATATCAACCCGTGCGATACGTGCTAGTGAAATATATATCACAACCTACATTGTCTCTCGTCTACAGAATAGATCAATTACGTCATACTGTCTCGAGCATATGTATACATGTACGTCAGCGTTCAGGGTTGTTATCTTTGTGATTTTGAGTGACTGAGTGGGTGGATGGGTGAGTGAGTGACTGAGTGAGGTTTTAGCAATATTCCAGCAATGTATCACGGCAGGGTACAACCCCACTTCCTTAGTTCGATTTCACATTCAAACCGTGATTTGTGTCAATACATAATTAAACAGTCTATGAATAAATTATAATTGCTCAGTTGAATATTTTATAACAATGACAGAGTATGTTTTGGCGTATATGAAGGCACACAAGAGTGTATGAAGGCACACAAGAGTGTATGAAGGCACACAAGAGTGTATGAAGGCACACAAGAGTGTATGAACCCCTGGGATGTTCATCCCCTGTTGTTCCAGAGACTTGAAACAAAACACCTACTTTAGGAAAGTGGTAATCAGTTAAATACTTTTGTTCTTTTTATTCCAATAATTCACTCGTTGATTCGAATCTGTGTAATTTCATTAAAACGTTTGATCACTTGTGATTTGTCGTTCGTACCGTTAATAGATATTCTACGGTAGCCTACATTTATTGGCCCACAGGTGCGTTTATGTTATTATTGATTCATTAATCGATTATTTTAATGGTAAATTTAAGGCAAATATCCTGTATCATGAATTCTTAAATAAACAACAACACATACTCTTTTGCTTGTGAAAGTAGATATAGCTGCACCGTCAACATTCATACACAAGATAAAGGCTTGATTTACACTGATAATTAATTGATTATATAACGTATATTTTCTGTCTAAGGTTTCACAACTCAGTTCTTTCAACAGTTAAGTTACGTTATCTTATAACCCACACTTTATCAATTGTGTAATGAACATTTAATTGTCATTTTTTACTTTAAATTTTGAACAAAGACTCGACTAAGTCTAAAACGACGCCTTTTCACGCTTGCTTGTCCTATGACGGCAAGCCAATTTCTACTTGCAACGGAGTTTTCGATTGGTTGGCGTTTCCCCTTGACCAATCGTGTGTAAGATTACATGATCCTTGATAAACACATTATAATCAGCAGACAACATTATGGATACACGTGCTATCTGACGGGTGCAAACAAAGTTCATGCGATCGGACTCCTTAAATATCAGACAGTTTGAATCAACAAATTTTCTTTCGTGTTTAAGATCGACCAGGAGGGCTTCTGTGTCAGTGGATAGTTGCCTGTGCTTCTGTGTGCCGTGAGAGGGTGATGCAAAAACACGGCATTTGAGAATCATTCGTTCAATGTCAGCAAACCCATGAAGGGTGCAATTACCGGAACATTTGCCTGCAGACTGAGTCGGTATCTGTTTTTTATTTAGTGCAGGTGGCTAGAAATTAGACTTACTCGGCCGATGTTGCATGGAGAAAGCTGTGGAAATCGCTGGAGAAAACGGGTCTTGTTCTTACGAAATCCCACAGAGCGACCGATGCTTATTGATATGCCGAACATTCTGTTGGGTTAATGAACGACCAAACATTTCTCTGTGTTTATGATGAGAGGTATGTAAGTATTGATTGTTATGATGATGATGTCTATATAACAGCTGAGGGACATATAACATTACCAACAATGACAGTAGAATATCGGATTTTGTTTGCCAATCAATAACTTACAATTAGTCATGATTGGACAACATATTCAACATTTGTGGTGTATAAATACTGAACACAGGCATTTTTGAGCGCACGCACTGGATTGACCTCATTACAGTTACAGTGGAATGATTTGGGATGCACATGATCAGTGCAGTCTGTTCCCAACTTATGTGAAGTCATGCATCTAAAAATAGTCAATATCTATGTAACTTTTGAACCACATTGAATTGTATGTAAAATATCAATGTCAGTTTTGTGACAATAAGGTAAAATCCATCATTGCAATAATGTGTGTATGCGCCATGATTATGACTGATGTCAGTTAATCACTTCACTGCTTACTAGTATTCAGTTCACATACCATATTTCCTCTCATAAGAGCCTGGGTGCTTATTTTTTAACAGAGATCCAGACTTGGTTGGCACTTGCATGACTTATTAGAGACCCGATGCTTTTGTGCTTACCGGGTCTAATTACCGTAATTGTTAGTGAACTACTTTACCCTGGCGCTTATTAGAAGCCTGGCATTTATTAGAGGAAATACAGTATTCATGTAAACACCAGTCTTCAGATACTGAAATGTCTGCAGTGTTATTGACAAGTCAGTAAATGACAAATTTGAAGAGTTACAATTGCTTGGTAAAGGTTAGTTATCTCCCCTTCTGCAGGTATTAGGTAAAGTGGTGAGTTATCACTGAGTAAGCTTTTCTTTACGCAGCAGCCACCTATATCCCAGAAATATAATTATGTCCTGAAATTTTCAATTATGACACATTTTGTCAATCATCAATCATTGTCTGTTCCACATCATTGATCTGTTCCTTGTCCAGTATGTCATATGTACAGTGAGAGTCTGATACCCGGACACATTCGTTTGTGTGTAAATCGTCTGGATTTTTCGTTTTCGTACACCTCAAGGAAAATCCAAAATGTTCATGATCATCAAACTTTATTGTATAGACATTAGGGACCATTCATAATTTAGAGGGGTTGGGGGTGTCTTTTTTTTGGGGAAGAAAGAAAAAATGATGATTTCAAGGGGGGTCACCCATTTTGTTCTGGGGATCAGGGGGGCGGGCAGCAATTTTGTACATAACAAAATGTTTAAAATTATGCTTAGAAACTATGGGAAGGTGGGGGGTCATTGATTTTGTACATGACATGCAGGGGGTTCGCTTATTTTGTACATAAATTTTAGGTGTGGTCATTGACATTGTACATGCTTCTTCATAAAAATTATCATCATCCCCCCTAGCCATAAATTATGAACGGTCCCTTAAAAGCCAGCATCACAACTTTAAGCTGGTGATACATTGTTTTGCTAAATACCCTGAACTCATTCTCGACCACTGATTTTTTGTCCAGTTGTTTTTCTATAACAATTTTGCTGTCCTCGTGACATGTAAGGCGTTAGTAAGCTCCAAACAAGTTGCTTTGATACTTGTGCAAAACAAAAGTAAGTAAACAGAACTGATTAAAAATGTATGCAAACAGTTCAGTAAACCACCATCATGTTTTTGATATGTGTTATTTTACAGAGGTTGAGACTACAATGGGAAGTCGACACAATTCAGGCCCATTGACAGCCCCTGTCCAGGGGAGGAGGATGGCGAAGAGGAGACACCGTTTGAAAGGATCTTACTTTGAACAAGTGAGTATGTAAATAGAAATTATTAGCTGAGTTCGGGTTTGCAGAATGATTTTCAACCATTTTCCATTTGACTTTAATACATGTAGAAACTGCTGTCTCAGTGGTTGGAAATGACAGCCAATAGCTGTTTACTCAAGTAGGCATTGCAAATATGGTACTGGTAGCCAATAGCGGTTGGATCAAGTAGGCAGTGCTTATAGGGTGCTGATAGACAACAGATATTTGATCAAGAGGGCTGATAGCCAATACCTGTTTGATCAAGTAGGCATGGCCTATGGAGTACTGCCGCCATATAGCTGGAATATTGCTGAGTGCGGTGTAAAACTAAACTAAAAAACTATGGAGTAGTGAGAGCCAATAGCTGTTTGATCAAGTAGGCATGGTATTTGGAGTAGTAGTAGCCAATAGCTGTTTGATCAAGTACGCATGGGTATATTGAGTAGTGATAGCCAATAGCTCTTTGATCAAGCAGTCATTGCATATTGGGTACTGATAGCCAATAGCTGTTTGATCAAGTAGGCCGCCGTGATGTTGGTGGAATATTGCTAAAAGCGGCGTAAAACCAAACTCAGTCAGTCAGTCAGTTGATCAAGTAGGCATGGCACAAAAAATACTCAAACTATTTCCTACAAGGTAACTATATTTCATAAATATTGAAACATAATGGGAAATTTATTGGATTGGTTATCGCACAAATAACAGGGTATATTTTTATAAATAAACATTTTTTCGAGTAACATGTATGCACATATAAATTGCCCAACACTGGAAAACATGATAAACTGCATATTTTGCAATGAAAACATAATGTCACCATGAAACAATTAAATTAGAAAAAATGTCCCTGAAAGTCCTGTAATTTGTAAAACAACCATTATTCCTGAATGTTTAGCCATATAGTGATGGAAAATCAGTGTCACATATACATGAACTCCACTGCAACGAATGATGTAACAGAGTGCTACATGTCACTCATTCCATAACACAGATGTGTGTAACGTTTGTGAGCTTATGTGATATGTGACACACTTGGGTATCCATCACATGGACCAAATCAATTAATATTATACAGCTTCGTAAGTATAATGGTGAATAACATGTTTAGCATGGGTTCATTTCTGAATTATTTTTTTTTTCATAAACTGTCCCCCAAAGTGGAAATATTTTGAGTACCCAAAGAAAGATATCTATACTAAAGTGAATAAACTTGCCAACTTGTGATATGTGAGATGGGGCTTAGCTTAATTCCGGTACCAGATTTTGGGTGACAAGGGTATATTCAAGAACTAGTTCTGGTTCCAAATTGCGCGACCGCTAAATATGACTTTGCAAGACTGGATCAAGTGTACATTGTTTGTCACTGGTCTCATGAAGTGGTCTGACCTACTTATGGGCCCTAGTGTCCGTGGTGACCTGTTTGCATCTGATGTATCCCAACTTAGCGACTGTAAATGGAATATTTGCCCATGTGTAGCTGTTACTGTTGCATGTGACCATGGTGACAATGTCTTATGTATTCCAGTACAACACGAGCATCATAGCTGCCTTCAAGTCTGTGCCATCATTTCGCTCCGATCAGTTCAAGGTTCATCGACCGATGATGGGGCAGTGCTGCAGTTGTCTCCCTTCCAGCAAGGTCAGATATAAATGGCCATCTTTTTATGCATCATTTGACTATGTATATATATGATCGGGGCAAACTGTCTGTAAGAAGTATCAACTCAATGAAGGCTGTTTTTATAAACATAACATACATAACAAACATTGCAATAAACCATGATCAACAGTATAATTGAGTGTTAGATTTGACAGGATTCTCTCCAAGTTCAGCATGTTTTGTGAGGAGTGTGGTCAGTTTGGTTACCCTGGTTACACAAGCTGATCAAGTAGTTATGACAATAGTGATGCTTATGTATTTACAGCAGAAGAAAAATAATAATAATAATAATATTTGTTGAACTGTAACGTGCACAATGAATGACTTTTCCAGGCTCATGTGAATGTTGAGCTCTGTTTTCCTCTTACAGAAAGATCTGATTAGTGAGAGAATATGTGAAGAGGGAATCAGGGACATATTTGATGTGAGGACCGAGTTGGGGTAAGTGTGTTCACATCACTGTTGCCATGTAGCATTTGACAGTGGATGAAGCTTAATCAATTTGATATATTCAGTCTGTGATTCAGGCTTAGTCCGTGCCATAAAACGTGTAATTTTCAATAGAATTTATTTGTTATTTTGTGCACTTATTAGTGGTGTTCCGATTGTTTGAAATAATCGAAGATTGGTCGAAGTGACCAAACGACCAAGCAATCAATCACATTTTCTCATAAACGAACACATACGATTTGGGAACCACTGTAATTGAGTTTGAAATACTTGATGATTGAACATATCTAGGACATTCTCAGGGCCTGAAAACATGTTAAATTCTTAGAAAACTCACTTCACTTACTGAAAAGTCATGACTGAATATTTCTTGAAGACGCTGGGAAGTTTATGTTCACGATATATTAGTCATCACTTTAAAGTAGCAAGTTGCATCATTTTACATTAAATGTGAAATTTGCAAATGCAATTTGTTTCAGAGAACCAAATGTTTTTTTATACTTATCTGCAATAACAACCTGAAGAGGAAAATCTAATAATTGAGCCTAACCAATTTTTTTCGATGATTGCTCTTTGGTATTGAACCCATTATCAGTTGTGAGATTTCAACCAATTCCCAACACAAGGACTTACATTAACGGAGGTTACAAGACTAAACAGAATGGTACTAGACTCAAAATGCTGTGGACTAGTGACTAGAGAGTCATAGAGACATAATCTGGCAGTGTTTTGGTCTGTATTGCAAAGCATTCTCACCATGAAAGAAATTCCCGTATTTAAAGATCTGTCTGTTCCACTCAGACACTTTCCCTGTCTTGTCTTGTACAGTACTGTAGCTGTTCAAGACATCTGACTGACCAGTGACTTGCAAGCAGACCCAAGTGGAATTCCGAGTTCACAGTAGAGTTTTGTTTTGTCTGAACATGAATGAGTAGTTAACAAGCTCATTTTCATGTCAGATTTCAGAGATCAAGAACTAGCTTTTACTAGGGCTGTAACAATACATCGAACTATCGATGGATTGCCAGTGTTCACGAATAGCGTCTGACCCTCTGACAAATCCGGCAGATTTGCCAACCCGCCGGCCCCAGTGTCTGACTGTATATTTCACAATGACTTTGACTGAAGTTGTTATATGGGACATGTGACACCTGTTTGCTGTTTAAAAATCTTATGTTTGTTTATAATTTCAGTGCCAATTATAAGAAATGCTAAATCTGAAATTATTACTATTATTATAGGATACTTATATAGCGCACATATCCAGGCAACTAGTGCTTGCTCTAGGAGCTGATCTTATGTGTTTAATTTTATTCTATGGGTCCTGTGAATTTTCAGTGGGTCAGACAGACATCTGAAACTTACAGGACCCAATGTCCTGTTCCTTTGAAACACGATTCGTGAACACTGGATTGCACTTGTTGAGTCTAAGATAGAAATCAATTGATGGTAGAAACAAAACACTATCGATGCATCGATATCGATAGTTTAGTAATCGACTTACATTGATAAATGTGCAGCGCAAAATACAGGAAATACCAGATTCGTTCACTTTGATTTACAGTTATCCGCCCCTGTTATCTGTTAACTGTTTACTTGATCTGGGTTTCAAGTGTCTTGTCAGTTATTAAAAGAGACTGAAACTACTTCAACTTGTTTTCATTTCATACAAAACTATACATTGATTTGGGAAATGACTTCAAAGGAGACAATTCAAGGAAATAGTACTGCAATAGTTGGTTGCAATAGACTATTGCTATTGCAATTGTTGTTTCCCCCACAATAATAACCCCTAGTCTTTACTGTTGAAGTTGTACTGCTTCTGTAAAGACGGATGTCTATGTTGTGTTGGAGAAGACAATATTTGTTTGTATAACCATGGTAACAGTCAGAAACATGCTTGCTACATAATGTGATACATGTGATATGTTCTGCAGGTCGTGTGGATACTTTGCCAGAACTATGCCATACCTAGCCTATGCATTGAGACGAGTGAGTCAGGGAACGTTTCCTGATGTGTCCATAGCGGTACTTAACAACAAGAGGTGAGTACCTTAATGATTTGTGTCTTTATTTGCTGTTAGATGCTTCACTCTGCAACATTCCAGCCACACTGTGGCACTTAAATAATAAACAGGGATAAGAATTTTCCTTGGATCCACGGAATTCCACAGATTTGATCGCGCTGGGGTCATTCCTGGAGAAAGACCCCGACTCATTTTCCTTTTTTTGTTCACTCATACCCTTCCTCATCCCTGAATCAAGTCTTGACCAGACAATGCAGTGATTGATGTTGTGATGCTGTCCAAATGAGTTCAGCTGTGACTGTTCCCTCACATGGGGTAAAATATCTGTGACTTTGATCAGGAGATATTTAACATGACCCTGGATTACTTCCTTTTGAAAAAATATCTTAGGTTTAAACATGTGGTGGAAACTATTGAATATTAATAAATGACAGTATTATAACTTCCTTAGAAGATTCACAAATTTAATAAATTTATCCAGTGTTCGACAGTCTGATTGAAAGCACCCAGGTTTATTTTAACAGGGTTAGACAGGGTCATTTCCAGTTAGTCTGATATTCAGTTGGACTAGTGGCTTATGTAAGATAAGTAAATTTGATATAAACGATGCAGTCACTCTAAATTCTAACTATTCTTGAACATATGATTAGTGACCATGTCTATCCTTGTAAAGGTTGAAGATCTATTAGGTCAAATTCCAATAACAACATCAAAATCTAAAGGATGCAAGGACTACTTGAGGGTAAAACACTGCTGTTGTTCCCAGCCGCAACACGGAACTTGGGACTATGTAATCAGCAGCGTCCTTACGTCTGTACATACATCCTGATCCTTGTTAATGTGATATCTCATGAACTGTTGTACCCAATGTCTTCAAATTTGGTGACAGCCTACATTGGTTGATTACGCAGACACCAGTCGATTTGGGTGACCTTGACCTTGACCTTATTTTCAAGGTCACCACAACACTTTGACCACTTTTCAAATTCTTGTTAATGTGATATCTTATACACTGTTGTACCCAATGTCTTCAAATTTGATGTCAGGAATTAACATTATGGGTATCTTCAGGGTAGGAGTGGGTGGTGTATCCGGGTAGAAACTTTGGACCCGTCCCAGCCCTAACACATACTGATACTGACAGTGGATATGTGCATCTGCATCTATACATTCAAATCTGCTACATTCCTGAAATATCTTCAGAGTTGGGAGAAGATTCTGAGAACTGACCATTACTAAAAACTACATATCACACAAAAGGTAATATTCTATGTAACCAAAAGATAAAAACCGGTAAATATACCATGCAAAAAAAGTAGAGGATATTCCATTTTGCGAGCATACCACTAGCCAATGCCAATGCATATGAGAAAAAGTTATATATATATCCATACAGATGAAACATTTCTAAAGGAATGGAATACATTGTCACATTTTCCCTTAATTTCTCTTCATCATCTGTTTCCTCCTTGGCTTCATCAATTGCATTTTATCAATCTTGTAAATCCAATATCCCCTACTTTTTTTGAATGGTATATGTTATATTTCATTCTTCTTTAGCGACGAGGGGGGGACATTGCCATGTTTGTGGTAAACACTTGTTATTTTGATACTAGTCTGAAATCTACATGGTGACTTTTCTGTTTTGATTCACTTTGAGTAAAATTTCTAGGTGTGCAAATGAACTAATGCAAGGGGCACACAGTATGATTTACTATCATTTAGACACATAGTATTCCCGAGATTCCATATAACATAGGCCCCAGCATCCTGTGGGTTTGTGAGACGCACTTGGTTAATTGGGTGGTCAGGATTGCAAACACGGCTGATTTGGGGTCTTCCTACACAGACGGAATGGAACGTTCAGCTGAAAAATATCAGTTGCTGATTCGTCTTGTTCAGATTTGATTATTTACAGAAACTCAAATATTGCAGAGTGTAGCCATAATAACACACAAAACAGATAGATATACGGGAGAGGTCTCTTGCTTGGTTACTGAATGGGGCTCCCGTCCTCAATTATCTAGTGTCTCATATAGTAGGGTGAAACGGTATACTCTTGCCATGGTATGGTACGTATTGAGGTACAACGCCTTCAGTTTGGTCTGTTTCAGGTTGGTATATGATTATGAAATATATGTATGATCATAATGCCAAAAATTGACATGAGCCAAACCTTACACTGTTTAATAACATGGAAAAAAAATAACCATTATTTTGAACGAACAAAACTGTCATTTTATGACTAGATAGAAATGATGGTACCAAAACTGAAAATACCCCATTTTTGGATAATTACGGTATACTGAACCCGAAGGCAAAATACTGCGGTTCTGCTAATACCATGGTATACCGTTTCACCCCTATTACATAGTCATTCTATTGTAATATTTGCTTTCATAGGTTTGTTTTGGATGTGAAGTAGCAACCTCCCTTTCTCAAATCATTACAGTGCTGAAAATAGGACTGCCTGGCTACCTTGAGTCATGGTGTTGGATCTTGTCACTGTCTAAATATTCATTTCTTTATATTATGTTCTGACTAGGACTTCTTGACTTTCATATGTATTTTCCGACACTGCTCTTGATTGGCACAGATGTTTTCAAGTAGGGCCCGGAATAATTGATTGAAGGACTATCAAAAGCTCTGTTTGATTTGATTTAGGCTTTAGAGGAAGTATTGCTTGTGAATGGATACTGGATATTTTTCAAAATAAATTGTGAAAATATATTACAATGGATTATTGGATTGAGGGCGCTCGCAATTCTCAAAACATGTGTTTTCTATTTGACAGCATGAAAAATAATTAGGTTATTATGATCTATTTTAAGTTACATGAAATACTCAAAGTGAATTGAAATCTTCCTGTTGTTACACAGACAGCTGTGTTAGCGTGACCATGTGTTGAAGGAATGTCCCACAGTTATTCCATCATGTTGAAGTGTTGTGATGGTCAATTTGCCGTCCCCACCAGCTAGGGGAAGGACGCCCAACTGGTTGACGTGACCTTGCTATGACAATGACGTCAAAACATATCTCCATTAACACTGGTGCAACAGCTGTGAAATATTCATTTGCATGGGTTGGAATATCACTTTGAAAGAACATAAAGCATTTTTCTGTGAAAACGGTAAACAAATATATAGACATGGCATTATTGTGATTTTATCAGTTATTGATAGGGCAAAGTCTTGAATATTTTGATTTTGAAAGAATCTTCAGGACACTTGACTGTCAGTCATCCTAATATTTGAACTGCTCTGATTCTGTAGCCTTGGCTCAAATGGCAAAGTCTGAACCTCATAGGAGGTGGTTATTTTGAAAGATATAGTACAGGACACATGACTATCAGTCATCTGGTTATAATATTTGAACTGCTCTGATTCTGAAGCCTTGGCTCAAATGGCAGAGTTTCTGAACCTCACAGGAGGTGGTTATAACTGTACATACAGATATAGTACTGGTTATAACTACACATACAGCTATAGTACTGGTTATAACTACATACAGCTATGGTACTGGTTATATACACATACAGCTATGGTACTGGTTATAACTACACATACAGCTATGGTACTGGTTATAACTACATGTACATACAGCTATGGTACTGTACTGGTTATAACTACATACAGCTATAGTACTGGTTATAACTACATACAGATATAGTACAGGTTATATCTCATACAGCTATAGTACTGGTTATAACTGTACATACAGCTATAGTACTGGTTATAACTGTATATACAGCTATAGTACTGGTTATAACTCATACAGCTATAGTACTGGTTATAACTCTACATACAGATATAGTACAGGTTATAACTACATACAGCTATAGTACTGGTTATATCTCATACAGCTATAGTACTGGTTATAACTACATACAGCTATGGTACTGGTTATAGCTGCATACAGCTATAGTACTGGTTATAACTACACATACAGCTATAGTACTGGTTATAACTGCATACAGCTATGGTACTGGTTATAACTGTACATACAGATATAGTACAGGTTATAACTGCACATACAGCTATAGTACTGGTTATAACTCATACAGCTATAGTACTGGTTATAACTACATACAGATATAGTACAGGTTATAACTGTACATACAGCTATAATACTGGTTATATCTCATACAGCTATAGTACTGGTTATAACTACATACAGCTATAGTACTGGTTATAACTACACATACAGCTATAGTACTGGTTATAACTACATACAGCTATAGTACTGGTTATAACTACATACAGCTATAGTACTGGTTATAACTACATACAGCTATAGTACTGGTTATAACTACACATACAGCTATAGTACTGGTTATAACTACATACAGCTATAGTACTGGTTATAACTACATACAGCTATAGTACTGGTTATAACTACACATACAGCTATAGTACTGGTTATAACTACACATACAGCTATAGGTACTGGTTATAATTACATACAGATATAGTACTGGTTATAACTACATACAGCTATAGTACTGGTTATAACTACACATACAGCTATAGTACTGGTTATAACTACATACAGCTATGGTACTGGTTATAACTGTACATACAGATATAGTACAGGTTATAACTGCACATACAGATATAGTACAGGTTATAACTGTACATACAGATATAGTACTGGTTATATCTCATACAGCTATGGTACTGGTTATAACTGTACATACAGATATAGTACAGGTTATAACTACATACAGCTATAGTACTGGTTATATCTCACACAGCTATAGTACTGGTTATAACTGTACATACCGATATAGTACTGGTTATAGCTGCATACAGCTATGGTACTGGTTATAGCTGCATACAGCTATAGTACTGGTTATAACTACATACAGCTACAGTACTGGTTATAACTACACATACAGCTATGGTACTGGTTATAACTGCACATACATATATAGTATAGGTTATATCTCATACAGCTACAGTACTGGTTATAGCTGCATACAGCTATGGTACTGGTTATAACTACACATACAGCTATAGTACTGGTTATAACTACATACAGCTATAGTACTGGTTATAACTACATACATAGATGGTACAGGTTATATCATACAGCTATAGTACTGGTTATAACACATACAGCTATAGTACTGGTTATAACTACATACAGCTATACAGTACTGGTTATAACTGCACATACAGCTATAGTACTGGTTATAACTGCACATACAGCTATAGTACTGGTTATAACTGCACATACAGCTATAGTACTGGTTATAACTCACATACAGCTATAGTACTGGTTATAACTACATACAGCTATAGTACTGGTTATGGTTATAGTAACTGGTTATAACTACATACAGCTACAGTACTTGTTATAACTACACATACAGATACAGTACTGGTTATAACTACACATACAGCTATAGTACTGGTTATAACTGCACATACAGCTATAGTACTGGTTATAACTGCACATACAGCTATAGTACTGGTTATAACTCACATACAGCTATAGTACTGGTTATAACTACATACAGCTATAGTACTGGTTATAACTGCACATACAGCTATAGTACTGGTTATAACTACATACAGCTATAGTACTGGTTATAACTGTACATACAGCTACAGTACTGTTATAACTGCATACAACTATGGTACTGATTATAACTACATACAGCTATAGTACTGGTTATAACTGCATGCAGCTACAGTACTGGTTATAACTGCATGCAGCTACAGTACTGGTTATAACTACATACAGCTATAGTGCTGGTTATAACTGCATACAGCTATAGTACTGGTTATAACTACATACAGCTATAGTACTGGTTATAACTGCATACATCTATAGTACTGGCTATAACTGCATACAGCTGTAGTACTGGTTATAACTCATATACGGCTATAGTACTGAATGCCATTTCATTCATCATGTTAATCGTAATGGAAATTTTCATGTGAAGTTGTGTAATGCAGCTGTGGAGCAACTGCTTTGTGTGAGAGTCATTTCCTGTCCAAGCCACACATTGCTGACAACATACGGGCTGAATTGCTTTTAATTGTGACAGAAACCCATAAACCACAGACCAAAGAAAGGTGTTCACGGAGAACATTAAAATCAATGGTGTTTGTATGGGCAGCCTTCCCTGGCAGCCCTGCGTGACAATGTGTTGAAGTGGGTCAGTGACGGCTGACTGCATCATCATCATGATAGTATTACATGTTGTAAACAGCCTTACTATTGCTGCCATGTTGTGTGGAAACTGAATCTTAATGCAGGTCGTGTACTGGAGGTGGTAGTGTAAGACAGCTGGGTATTTCATGTATTAACCATAAAGACTTGCTACAACTACCGTATTTACTGTATAAAGTGCCCTGCTCCATAAGTAACCCCTGACCAAAGTCTAGACGAATCAGTAAGGCCAGACCAATTTTATTTCTTGTTTTACGGGTCTGCCGGTCATATTTTTTCAAGAATAAGAAAAAAATAGAATAATAATTTTCCCCGCTCAAAAAAATAAAATCCTGAATATTTGTCAAACATGCAAATTTACAAGAAAAGTTGTTTTTGATTGTGTTTTTCCCGATATACACTTAATAAATTGCCAAAAGTAAAATACTTTAGTATTTATATATATTTTTTTTCCCTCCTGCCTTTAAGTTTTCTGAGGACAAAAATACATAAAACAACAACTATAATTGGTCTGGCCTAAGTAATCTTTATAAGAACCCGCCACTAGTGAAAGACAGTGAACACTTCAAAACATATTTATTGTGTATATTACAGATTTGTTTAAAGACAACAGCAGGGTAGGGGGTATATAACTGCAGAAGCCATATCAGTATATGGCCTCTGATAATTGCTTAAAAAGACCTTACCAATCAGTTATAGTTACATTGGTGTTTGAACTAATTTTGTTCACTACCGCTCAATTTTTTACAATGGATTTTTGTTTATATATATATTGTCCCCAGGGATCGTGCTTAATTTGCCAAGGCATAGTAAATATTAAAATTGCACAAGTTAAATATTTTCATTGTGGTGGCACTGAGCCTAAAATTATGCAAATATTATTCACCTTGATTCATTTAATGAAAAATGTGATTATTTTGAACAACTCAAATCATTCAACTCACATATTTAGTGTCCATCTTGCTATTTATCAGTGTTACTCAATCGGCTATTTTTAAAGCCCAAGCTCATCACCATGATCACAGAAAGTCCCATTTTGGATAGCATAGTTTCTGGGTTGGCAGTAGATAATATCTGTTAAACCATGTGAGTGTCACAGATGAGAACTATGTTGAGCTTTTTCCTGTGTTGCGAAAACACTCAAGATGATCAAGTCAAACTTAAACTGAAGTCTTTTAGACAAAAGCAATCCCCACCCAAATGAAAGCCACATGCATGCTGTATTCCTCAATAACAAGTAACTGCTCTAAGGGGTGAACTCAGGGAAAGGAACAGCCAGTCAGTGGCGTTCCAGCTCCAATCAATGACTAAAACAACAGAGGGACTCTAAAAGTATGAGAATCTGTACTTTACTGAGAAAATGTAATCCCAAATATAACATATGTTGCATTGAACCACTCTCCAATAGTCCTTGTGTATTCATGATAGAGGCTTTGTGGGACCGGGCCTGGGGCAATGATGTCTGGCGTGTGTTGAAAGGGAATTGCTTTTGGACATGTTCAGGTCAGAGAGGGTGTGGCAATGATGTCTGGCGTGTGTTGAAAGGGAATTGCTTTTGGACATGTTCAGGTCAGAGAGGGTGTTGCAATGACTGCAAATAGCAGTTCTGAACTAGCTGATGGAATGTTATGTGAAAAAAATAGTCATTGTAAATGAAACCATTTGTATCATTCCACTCAACCTCTACTATTCTGTTAGAATCTGCATGGAATAAGACATTGAGACTCTGTTTTGACATTCTGCTGTTCTCATTGATATCATCTTGTTGAATACATTTCTGGGGAAATGAACACTGGAGTTGTCCAGGGTAACAGTGTCCTCCAGGGTTTTACTGCAATTGTTTGAAACAAAAACATGACATGTTGCAGGGGCGGTGGGGTAGCCTAGTGGTTAAAGCATTGGCTTGTCACGCTGAAGACCTGGGTTCAATTCCCCACATGGGTACAATGTGTGAAGCCCATTTCTGTTGCCGTGATATTGCTGGAATATTGCTAAAAGCGGCGTAAAACCATACTCACCCACTCACTCACTCGTGTTTGCCACCAAAGCACCACCTTGTTCATACCTTAGACCCCTGACAATTGTAAGTCACAGTGTTTAATTATTGCTACAATGACTTCTTACTGAATAGTGTAGGTTGTGTTACAGTCACGATGATGTTTCACTGCAGTATCCTGATGCTCCATGAGGAAGTACATGATTGTCATGTTTATGTCATCCCTCTATTGTGGTACATATACATTATATTTCATACTGACCCATGACCTTCATTAACCCATGCTCGTTGAAAGAGGCCACTAACAAGATTGGGTGGTCATCTTATCCCAGTGCACAAATTGGTTCTCATGCTTTTGGTCACTGGATCGTCTGGTCCAAACTAGATTATTTACAGACCACCGCCATACAGCTGGAATATTACTGGAGAGTGGCATTAAACAAAAACAAACATGTCATACGGTAGCAGGATACAAATCATATCGCACCCATAGTATCAAGACCCCAACATACTATTACACCTGTAATAAACATACATAAAGGTGTATATGTACAGAGCTTCAGATGAACTAATTAGTTACAGAAGGAAATGCACAGAGTAATTCATTATTTACCAAAACACTTTTTCACTCATTGGAATCGTTATGTAAGGAGGTAGTGGGTATAAAAATGATCAAAATGGTGGATCACTGGATTAAAAATATATTGAATACCTGAAGAAAACTAAGAATGTGCAATATGAAAGATATTTGAAATACCCCAAAACCCATTGACTCAAAAGCAGTATATGCAGCTGGGTTTGTCTTTTTGAAAAGTTGTCTGAGTATTTCTCCAGGTGTGTTCTGTTGTTTGTTTTCAGGGTGATGGAAGCTGTGCAGCTGACCCTTCAAGAGGCACAGGCGGGAACATGCCGGTATGTTACACTCATCTGGTTTAGGTCCTAGTTAAAGCTTGGTGGAGACTTTGGAGCAGAATTTGGCTCTGTAAACCATCCAGTGATTAATATTTGTCTATGCCAGGATACTATGGAATCAGTGTTAAATGTGAGAAAAATAGACTGAGAATGTGTTTATGTTTACCATCGTGTACTACAGGGAAAGGGAAAGTTAGGGAAATCTCCTGAGTAAAACAGATTTTCATATTTGTGTCCTAAGAGTTATTGAATTTTGTTCAAGGAATTGTGAAAATTATAGCAAGCAGTTGAAATATTCTACTGGCTAGTGAACAGTTATCACCGCTAAACAGTTATCACCAATGCATCAATATCACATGTTCACATGTGCGCAGTTCCGGTCAATTACAATTCCGGTATTTTTTCCCAACGGTATTTGACAACAATAAAGGACAGCAAAAGAAAATTCTTCACGGCAAGTAACATCAGAGAAAAATTAAAGATAAAGTTATGAACCCTATAGAGAAAAATTAACTTAGTCGGGGGGGGGGGATGTCCCACGACCTAAATAACAGGTCTGGTCAAGTTCACAAGTAATTAATTGTTTCATTCCCTATCAATCTGCTGTAAAAGAAACACTCAAATAGTCACACAATCAATTATTCGAGGTTACTGTAAGATATTAATATATATTATTTCACGAATAATATGAGAAATTCGGAATGGCGATAATTGTTACAGTTAGTTATGAGAAGACATTTATTTATACTGCCATGATTCCCTCCATTATCTAAAAACATGATCGGCGGCAGTGAACGGGCTGGACAAATCGGTGAATAGTTAATTAAGTATCATAATTAATTCTGTTTCATTAGTTTAACGAACGGCGGAGCAATTTTGTAAATACCGCTAAAATATGGTGATAACTGTTCGTTAGTCAGTATTTGTATACTAAGGCAGTCATGTGATTTTCAGCATTTACAATAATGTGATAAGTATCAGCTTTGTAACGCTTTGTGAGTTTAACTGTACAGACATGACAGCTGCCTCTGTCTTCCCACTAGATTCCCCCAGCAGCAAGAAGAGGCCTCCCCCCACCCTGTCCCGATACCAGCAGTCAGCCAAGAAGATCCTCAGCAAGATGAAGGCTTCCATATCAGCTCATTTGATCAGGTAGGTCAGCTCACTTGGTCAGGTAACAGTCTGCTCATTCGGTCAGATATGTCTCAGAATTGCTTAACCCTTACAGACTTTTGCCTTTCTGAAGTACAGTCAAGTCTCGTTAATCCGAACATTGTCTGTTGCACAGCAAATATGTCGGATTAACAAGGATATCGGATTATCGAATTCTGAGTACAGATCACGTTCATGGTCAAAAACAGGACAATCATGATTCATGTTAAGTGTGTGTGTGTGTGCGTGTGCGTGCGTGCAAGCGTTCGTTCGTCGTTCGCGTTAAGTTCGTTCGTCGATTATCGACTTTAGATCACACGTTTTACAGCTAAACAATATGTACATCTAGATACTTGTGTGTGTGAAAACTGAGAAAGTAGAACTCCAGATCTACATGTCCACTTTGATGCAAACATCAGAATAGAATGCCTATAGATCTAAGAGTAGATGTAGCAAGTATCCAAAAATCTATTTATTTTCAACCTTGTTGGTGAATTCGATGAGAACTGAGCCTTTTGCAAATACAAACTGTTTTCTTGAAGCGAACACATGCGGGGAAGCAGGCATTTTGTTGACAGTCTTGTCAGCCAATCAAACTGCTTGTTTCGATCACATGTTAATATTCTTGAGGAGTATTCATAGTTTTCAAAACCAATTCCTATTTTCATTAAACATTTACGAAATCTTCGTCAATGCTTGTATTTAAACATGGGTCTAAACAACAAAATGACCGAACAGCTGCACCCTCGGCAAGCTATAAATAGACTTGACTTCCTGTTTTACGTCAGTTATACGATGTTCAGCAGATGGCATTTATCTTACCAAACACCTTTATATTCATTTTGAATTGTTTGAAGCATGGGTTTAAATCTTTTTTGTAGCCATCGCTAGATTTTGCTGACTAGAAAAACAGATTTAGAGTGATCTCCCTTCCATCGATTTGCATTCACAAAACATCGGTAATTTCCGTACATCATACGTGATTCAATGTTATTCGAGATAAAGAATTACTACCACTAAGTAACAAATGAGTTGCCATTGATGGCGGGGTACATTGAAATGTTACTCGCTTGTAAGCGAGGTAAATTGAAAATGATAGAAGAGCGCTCAGCCAATCAGAAAGCGACATTTATGTGTGAGGTAAGATAATGCGATATGTATTGCAATATGTTGCAAGAAGTTTTATTTTAACAAAAAACTACTTACAATTATGATCGTGTTAATGCTTGATTTATGAAGCAAAAATACAACAAAATCACTATGCTTGATTAAACTTTTATAAAAACAGGAAATAATATTTGGCACAAATGAAACAAGGAAAAGAACAATGTAACATCAACACAGTGGTTACTAGTTTTTTCACTTTAAAAAAAAAAGCCCTGAGGTTTTAGACAGCAACTTGACCTGGTCAGGATATATCAGAGATCACTGGTCATTAATGAGTAAATATTTAAAACATTCAGATCCAAAACATTGCGAAACACTTGAACAAAAATTAAGAACACAACTTCAAACCAAACTTAACAATCCAGTTAAGTGTAATTTTCACCACGCTCATACCTACCACCATTGCCACAAATGCCACAAATGTCACAATCATAAACATCTTCATCACCATCATCACCACACCATGAAAAAACGGAAATATCCGAAGATTTCCGAGTGTTAGGAAGTTTTCTGAATTCATGTCAAAATAACGGTTTTCAATCAGAGTATCGCAATACGTGTCGTTTTCATGTCTGAACCGGTAAATACTGGTAACCTGGTTATATTGCACAGCCCTAGCAATCAGAACATCAGGAGCAGTTGTGCTGAATACCCTTGTAAGATGCTTAATTAATCAGATGTTAGTAACTGACTTCCAATCAGCTGGTAGGTTCAGCCTTGAATGACAACTGATCTATGTTTTTGCTTATGTGCCTTTAGGTTTACTGGATGGTTCCTGTTGAAGTTCCTCAGCCAGTTCCTGAGGACAATCCAGGTCCACAAGGGGCAGCTGGAGATGGTGCATAAGGTGGCCCAGGTACGTCTCCCCGCCGTGTGCTCACCTCTGTGCAGTGTACTGCGGTCACAGATGTAGTCTCTGTTAACTATTGCTATATCTGTATATACAGGCAGGGGAGCGTTCATCTGACAGGAGATGGTGGGGTGCCCAGGTACGTCTCCCCGCCGTGTGCTCACCTCTGTGCAGTGTACTGCGGTCACAGATGTAGTCTCTGTTAACTATTGCTATATCTGTATATACAGGCAGGGGAGCGTTCATCTGACAGGAGATGGTGGGTGCCCAGGCACGCCTCTCTCACCGCGGTGCTCACCTCTGTGCAGGGTACTCGCGTGTCACAGATGTAGTCTCTGTTAACTATTGCTATATCTGTATATACAGGCAGGGGGCCTAGGGGTGCCCAGGTAGTCATCTCACCCTCTGTGAAAACTGCAGTCACAGATGTAGTCTCTGTTAACTATTACTATATCTGACAGGAGAGGTGCCATCGATGTGTGCTCACCTCTGTACCCAGTGCTGTCACAGATGTAGTCTCTGTTAACTGTGCTATATCTGCTTATATGTTCATCTGACAGGAGATGGTGGGGTGCCCAGGGTGCCTCCCGCCGTGCGGTGCTCACCCTCTGTGCAGTGCTGCAGTCACAGATGTAGTCTCTGTTAACTATTGCTATATCTGTATATACAGGCAAGGGAGCCTCCATCTCATCGCGGCTGAGGCCTAGGTTCAATCCTTTAAGGTACAATGTGTGAGCTGGTGTCCTGCTGTGTTCTTGCTGGAACATCTGAAAGTGGCGTAAAGCCAACTCTCTTACTCCTCATCTAAATATAATGACATGGATTTTATAGATGTTTTAGAAAAAGAAAACGAAAAGTCTGAGTTTTACCTTTGGGTGCAGAGGACCAGATGCACGATCCTGTGTCCCTTTCGCCGGTGCTCACCTCTGTGCAGTGTTCACAAGTCTGCGCAGTCACAGATGTAGTCTCTGTTAACATTTATATTGCTATATCTGTATATACAGGCAGGGGAGCATCGCATTCATCTGACAGGAGATGGTGGGTGCCCAGGTACGCTTTAATTAGGTAGCTCCTCGATATCCGCAGTGCTCACCTCTGTGCAGTGTACTGCAGTCACAGATGTAGTCTCTGTTAACTATTGCTATATCTGTATATACAGGCAGGGAGCTCTGTAAATATGTTCAGATTCATTCTTCTGACAGGAGATGGTGGGTGCCCAGGCTTCACGCCTCCCTCACTGTGCTCACCTCTGTGCAGTGTACTGCGAAGTCACAGATGTAGTCTCTGTTAACTATTGCTATATCTGTATATACATTTGTTGTTGCGTAAATCGTCCGGAAAAACTGAATATCTGGATATCTGGAAACTGATGCACATTTGTGCAATAGCTTAAAATCTGGATATCTGGATTTCTGTCATCCAGACTTAGGTGTTGAAACGGTAGCGAGCATACACTTCTGGTTTAAAATCACTTCCAAAACAATGTGGTCATTTTGATTTGCCAATTACAATTCACTCAGTGTCAGATAGACCTACTAGTCACCACCAATCCTGCTGATTGGTTATTTATCCGGATTAGCAGACCTTTTCTAGTGTCAAGACGTGGGATTCACGCGCTTCACTTCACACGGTCTGCAGAGGATCAAAGCTTTGTGCAGATAAGTGAGTCAGTTTTGTGTTGATTTAGCCGGTTGGTTTGTAAAATTCACTGTCCGGAAACAGAAATCGCATATCCGTTATAGACAGTCACTTTTATGACGTGAGAGATTGTTTTTTATGAAAATTGGAAGGCGAAGTTTCCAGATATCGGGTCCTTGTATCCAGGGTCTCACTGTATATGCGGATCGAATCCGAAGGATCCAGAAACCAAACATGCGGCATTGCAGCAGTACTGTTAGTATTACGTACTGAAGAGCGATATGATGGATTGTCATGTGAATGTAAGTACTTCGTCTTCCACAGTATATGCAAGAGCTTCTAAAGAAAGGAGAAGCCTTTGAGTTCTTCATAGAAGGAGGAAGAACACGCTCAGGGAAGGCCTTGACGCCCAAAGGAGGCTTGCTGTCCATTGTTGTCGACTCATGTATTGAAGGTACATTGATGTGAATTCGTTTCCAAATGATGAAATGAAAGTAAACTACATGTATGTTATGGTTAAGAACTGACTTCATTGAAAATGTCATGAGAAGATGTATAAGAAGACATGTGACTGAACAGGATTACTTGCTACATTTCAGGTGTTATCCCTGATGCCTATGTAGTGCCAATTAGCATCAGCTACGAGAGGCTGTTAGATGGTAACTTCCACAGAGAACAGATGGTGAGTTGTCAGCATGGATCTGTCACACTGAATGATTACTGTCCTCACTTGTTATTTGTGGTTTTGAAGTAATGAAAAAAACCCAGTTGTGTACAAATTCCTCTGTACTGAAAAGAAATACAAATGTGAACATGATAAAGAAGGTGGGGATTTTAGCCACTTGTCCAAAAACCTGAGTCTGATAAAGTTGTCTTCGGTTTATGATCTTAGCAAAAAATCAGCACAATAACACTGAAATCAACTAAACATTAGAGCTGGTCAAGTACACTCAAATGTTTGTGGCATAGGCTGAAGTAGATAGCTGTAACATTGCTAAATGTATTTCATAGGGTCTTCCTAAGGTGAGCGAGTCCTTCCTTGGAGCCTGGAAGGGCATCTGGCGTGTTCTCTGTCAGAACTTTGGAAGCGTCAGGATTGATTTTGCTCAGCCCTTTTCAGTAAAGGTGAGTATTACTGACGGAGAATGTACAAAGAAGCAGGGTCTATCTCCAAACGGAAGTTGCAGTCAAATGTTTATGAAATGGGATCCTTGGTTTGAATTGACACATCAGTTAGACAGCCAAAAGCACTGACATTAATAATCGAATGGCACTGACTCGGAATGATATTTAAGTGTGTGAAATATTGTATTGTTCCAAAGTGATTTTGCTTGACTTTACCCAGACTTGCTGGGACTGCGAAAGGTTTAGCCCCTTTAATGAATTTCAGTAGAAATTGAATAACAATGTGAAAATCTGTAAACAGTATCACCTTGCTATTGGATTACTATTGGATTGGTGTAGGTTTGCAAACATTTGTTTGAGAAATGTGTTGCATTTATTTTGTTTGTGCACTATTCCCAGTTGTCCTGCATTGTTCATCATGTTTGTTCCCAGGAATACATCCAGTGCAACCCTGCCCAGCTGAACCGGCCCCTGTCCCCCATGGCGTCGTCGTCCGGTGAAAACTCCCCCGAGTCCTCCTGCCCCAGCCTCAATGGCATGACCTCCAGCTCTTCCCGAGCCAGTCTGCAGTTTGACGGCCTGGACAACAGCAGGTGCCTGGTCAAAGGCATGGGACTCCACATAGTACACAGTGAGTTGATCTCATGGATCAATCCAGGGGATTCCAGGACAGGGCAGGTGCCCTTAGTCTCCTCCACACATGTGACTGGGTTACCCTAACTCTCGTGTGGAAGTGCTATGGTTATGGGGTTACTGTTGTCCAGTCGATAGGATTGGGTGGTTAAAGTGTGTTAACCTGTTGGACCGTGGGTGAGTGGGTTACCCTAACTCTCGTGTGGAAGTGCTATGGTTATGGGGTTACTGTTGTCCAGCCGATAGGATTGGGTGGTTAAAGTGTGTTAACCTGTTGGACCGTGGGTGAGTGGGTTACCCTAACTCTCGTGTGGAAGTGCTATGGTTATGGGGTTACTGTTGTCCAGCTGATAGGATTCGGTGGTTAAAGTGTGTTAGCCTGTTCGACCGTGGGTGAGTGGGTTAGATGGCTGATTTTGTGAGCTGATGATTAGGTGCATGCGGGTTCAAGTCTGAGATAGGATTCAACCTAACAAAAGTATCAGAATCTGTACTTTACTGAGAAAGTGTTACATTTGACCACTTTCTAAATGGCATTGTGCATTAATAGCTTTAAGATGTGGGAGCCATACAGATAATTATACTTGTCTGAGGGGTACACAAAGTATGTGATCTAGGCTACCAGTTGTCCGACTTCTATTTTTGTGGAAGCAGCAGTGACTGAGTGGGTGCGATGGCTGACTTTGTGTGCTGGTGATTAGCTGCCTGATTCAGAGTGTGGGTTCACGTCCCACAATACTCAACCCAGCAAGAGGACTAGAATCTTTACTTTACAGAGAAAGTGTAATCTCAAACATAACATACGTTACAAACCAGACAGGGGTGTGTTGTAAACTAGACAAGAGTTTCACCTGTCAACATGAAGTATATACACTTGTACATGAGTGATATATAATTGCTTGTTGTTTACCATGGTACTGTTTCTACTTCCAGCTGCTGTTCACTCGACAGCTGTCACCTGTACCAATATGGTGGCATTCCTCTTCCTCTTCAAGTTTCGACAGGTGAGTGTATTGTGACACTAACAGTTGTGATTTGCGAAACTCTGGAAGTCATTTTAGTATTTTGAGTTGGCTCACATGCATATCTATTTAAGATGGTTGTAGCATTTAAGCTCAAACAGGGCCATGCTTTTTAAGGTTCTCTATCTGGTATGCTATCCCTGAATGGGTTTATGTTGTCAGGGTGTATAGTTCTTGTGACTTGTCACTGTCCTAAGTGAGTTGCTGATTTCAGGGTGTCATGGTGCTGTGGCCTGTGTATGTCTGCTTTTGTACAACTGAAATGAACGTGTTTCTGATTTCAGGGAGTCTCTCTGACCTGACCTGAATGTGTTTCTGATTTCAGGGAGTCTCTCTGACCTGACCTGAATGTGTTTCTGATTTCAGGGAGTCTCTCTGACCTGACCTGAACGTGTTTCTGATTTCAGGGAGTCTCTCTGACCTGACCTGAACGTGTTTCTGATTTCAGGGAGTCACGATGCCCCGCCTTGTGTACAGCTTCAACTGGCTGAAGCAAGAGCTGAAGATGCGTAACCGTGATGTGGCTTTCTGTGGAGAGTCTGATGCCGTTGTGGAGTATGCAGAGGCACTGCTCGGTGCCGACCTCATCACTCGGAAGTAAGCCTCACAGTCAGTCAGCAAAACAGTCTGAGAATGTCTACAGTCTACACATGCTTGAGGAATTGAGATTATCTGTCCTAAGTGGTGTAATCCCTATCCTTTGTAACAACATTCGTTCACAAGGCACAGATAATCTGTTATTCCGAGTTTCAAGTTTTCTGTATGTGTTCTTTGTCTTTTTGCGAAAGCCAATTTGTGAAATGTCAACCCAACAAAATATTTGGCAAATACGACATGACAGATTTAGATTCTGTGAATTTTAATGCTTCCTAGTAATGTCAGTGGATTGTATCCACTTTCTGTTGTAGGTGTGATGAGAAGGGTGAAGAAGTGCTCATTCCGTGCCTGACCTGCCTAACGTGTTCGAACTGACCTACTACGGCAACAATGTGATATCACCATTCCTCCTGGAGAGTGTAATAGGTAACTATAACAGAAAGTGGGGGATATTAGCACATCCTTCTGGGAGCACAGGAAGTGGATGTGCAGAGTGCTGCTTGGCGGGTGTGGCAGAAACCTGTGATCCTTGGCTCAAGCCCTGGTTGACCCTGAGTCTGTTTCTAGGATTGTCAACTGTTTACTCGTAGTTGCATAATGCTTATGCTTGGAGTCACTAGCTTGTCTGTGGCGTTGTGTGGTAGCCAAGTGGTTAAAGCATTCGCTTGTCACTCCACAGACCCGGGTTCGATTCTCTGCACGTGTACAATGTGTGAAGCCCATTTCTGGTGTTCCCTGATGTGTTATTGCTGGAACTTTGCTTAAAGATGTGTAAAACCCAACTTTCCAACTTGTGGTTTTCTCCCCTTGTTGACGTAATTAATTGGTTTTACCAGCAGATTGTGTTGACTTTCAGATAAAAGAACTGTAATTCGACTTCATTAGACAGACCTCACTGACTGTTGAAAGCTTGTACACTGAAACATTGTTTCTGTTTCAGCTAATGCCTTGATGTATGTTGGTAAATTTTCACTAACTAACACCCCTCCGGTGGAGAATGGACCAGTCCGAGTAAGCCGAGAAAGAGTGATCGGTGTTGCTGAGGAACTGTGCAAACTGCTTCAGGAAGAGTTTATTTTTGTCCCAGTGAGTGTTACATGATTTGTTCACTTGAAGCTGCACATTATATAGACTACCATTCACAAGCTGCAGACAATTTGGTGTTGACACCTTTTGTGTGGGTTGTTTCTCCTAAATTAAGTGTATGTATACTCTTTCAGCCATGTGGGAGACTGAATGAGGCCTTATCTGATATGATAGAACAGTTCATCTCACTGGAGATTCTAGCAGAGGAGCAAACAGAGGTATGGACATATCACCCTCACATAAAATGTTGAAACAGTATTGTTGTATGTTGTTATTTGCTTGACCTTAGTTGCGATGCATTTTAGCAAGAAAAGGCAGGCTGGTGAAAGTTACATTCAAAGACAATACATTTAATGCTTTCAGTTGTATTTCCAACTTTCTTATGGCTTTTAACTTTGATATGATGTGCAGTAAGCACATGGTTATTGATAGTATATAAAATATTGACAGGATAAAGTTTGTAAAAGATTGATGGACTCTATACTGCCATCCCTTTTCACTGTCTAATGTAAAACCCACTCAAATACTGATTGTTGTCAGGTTGAACTATACAGGATATGGCTGTGATCTTCTGGGACTGACTTTGTGTTGACAGTGTGCCCCATTCTGGTCGTGCAGTGTCCCCAATCCTGACAGTTCAGTGTCCCCTATCCTGACTGTTCAGTGTCCCCTATCCTGACTGTTCAGTGTCCCCTATCCTGACTGTTCAGTGTCCCTTACCCTGACTGTTCAGTGTCCCCTACCCTGACTGTTCAGTGTCCCCTACCCTGACTGTTCAGTGTCCCCTACCCTGACTGTTCAGTGTCCCTGACTATCCCCTGACTGTTCAGTGTCCCCTACCCTGACTGTTCAGTGTCCCCTATCCTGACTGTTCAGTGTCCCCTACCCTGACTGTTCAGTGTCCCCTATCCTGACTGTTCAGTGTCCCCTATCCTGACTGTTCAGTGTCCCTTACCCTGACTGTTCAGTGTCCCCTATCCTGACTGTTCAGTGTCCCCTATCCTGACTGTTCAGTGTCCCCTATCCTGACTGTTCAGTGTCCCCTATCCTGACTGTTCAGTGTCCCCTATCCTGACTGTTCAGTGTCCCCTATCCTGACTGTTCAGTGTCCCTATCCTGACTGTTCAGTGTCCCTATCCTGACTGTTCAGTGTCCCCTATCCTGACTGTTCAGTGTGTCCCTATCCTGACTGTTCAGTGTCCCCTATCCTGACTGTTCAGTCCCCTATCCTGACTGTTCCTGACTCCTGACTGTTCAGTGTCCCTATCCTGACTGTTCAGTGTCCCCTATCCTGACTGTTCAGTATCTGACCCTGTCCCCTATCTGACTGTTCAGTGTCCCCTATCCTGACTGTTCAGTGTCCCTATCCTGACTGTTCAGTGTCCCTATCCTGACTGTTCAGTGTCCCTATCCTGACTGTTCAGTGTCCCCTATCCTGACTGTTCAGTGTCCCCTATCCTGACTGTTCAGTGTCCCCTATCCTGACTGTTCAGTGTCCCCTATGTTGACTGTTCAGTGTCCCCTATCCTGACTGTTCAGTGTCCCCTATCCTGACTGTTCAGTGTCCCCTATCTTGACTGTTCAGTGTCCCCTATCGTGACTGTTCAGTGTCCCCTATCCTGACTGTTCAGTGTCCCCTATCCTGACTGTTCAGTGTCCCCTATCTTGACTGTTCAGTGTCCCCCCTATCATTGACTGTTCAGTGTCCCTATCGTGACTGTTCAGTGTCCCCTATCCTGACTGTTCAGTGTCCCTGACTGTTCAGTGTCCCCTATCTTTGACTGTTCAGTGTCCCCCCCTATCTTGACTGTTCAGTGTCCCCTATCGACTGTTCAGTGTCCCCTATCCTGACTGTTCAGTGTCCCCTATCCTGACTGTTCAGTGTCCCCTATCTGACTGTTCAGTGTCCCCCTATCTTGACTGTTCAGTGTCCCCAGTGACTGTTCAGTGTCCCCTATCGACTGACTGTTCAGTGTCCCCCTATCCTGATCAGTGTCCCCTATCCCTATCTGACTGTTCAGTGTCCCCTATGCTGACTGTTCAGTGTCCCTATGCTGACTGTTCAGTGTCCCTATCTTGACTGTTCAGTGTCCCCTATCCTGACTGTTCAGTGTCCCCTCCCTGACTGTTGTCCCCTGTTCAGACTGTCCCCCTATCCTGACTGTTCAGTGTCCCCTATCGTGACTGACTGTTCAGTGTCCCCTATGTTCTGACTGTTCAGTGTCCCTATGCTGACTGTTCAGTGTCCCTATTGACTGTTCAGTGTCCCCTATCTGACTGTTCAGTGTCCCCTATCCTGACTGTTCAGTGTCCCCTATATTGACTGTTCAGTGTCCCCTATGCTGACTGTTCAGTGTCCCCCCTATCTTGACTGTTCAGTGTCCCCTATCCTGACTGTTCAATGTCCCCTATATTGACTGTTCAGTGTCCCCTATGCTGACTGTTCAGTGTCCCCTATGCTGACTGTTCAGTGTCCCCCCTATCCTGACTGTTCAGTGTCCCCTATCGAGACTGTTCAGTGTCCCCTATCGAGACTGTTCAGTGTCCCCCCTATCTTGACTGTTCAGTGTCCCCTATCCTGATCGTTCAGTGTCCCCTATCGAGACTGTTCAGTGTCCCCTATCCTGACTGTTCAGTGTCCCCTATCGAGACTGTTCAGTGTCCCCTATCCTGATCGTTCAGTGTCCCCTATCGTGACTGTTCAGTGTCCCCTACCCTGACTGTTCAGTGTCCCCTATGCTGACTGTTCAGTGTCCCCTATCGTGATAGTTTTGTGTCTATTTCAGTATGACAATCTGTACACTACATTTGATCGTCAGTGGGCCAACCGCCTTTCAGCACAGCTGTCCTGGGCCGACGAGGAAGATGACGATTCTGATGATACATTTGTGGAGGAAAAGCCCCTCAAAGTCAGTTCACATTATCCAGTTGTAAATATTAACATGTTTGTCACATTGCCAGAAGCAGTTTAAGAAATGTGGCCACTTTGTTTTTGTGCTTATGTTTAGCCAATGGTTTTGTTTTCTATTTGATAAAATCCAGTAATCTCCCTGTCCTTTGGTGTTTACAACAAAATTTTATCTAATTTTAGGCATTCAGTTTTTATTGTGTCAGTGAAGAAGTTTGGTCAGGGCTCGATTTAAGAGATATTAACCCACTTGCACCAGGTGCAACCTAAGATAAAAACCTAGTTGCACCAGTCAAATTCCAATTGCACTGTTTTTATTGCAATATGTAACATCAGAAACATGCTATTGAATTAGTTAGATGTTTTGTTCAGAAGTTTCCCCACTCAAAACTTGACTTGCACCTGGTGCAAGTTAGACTAATAACTAGGTTGCACTTTGTAATATTGGGCTGCACCAGTGCAAGTAACAAAGCACTAAATCGAGCCCTGTTGGTGGAGATTCTAAAGCTGTTTCAAGAATAGTGTTCAGCAGCTAGTTAGGATGTGGTTCTAAAAGTTGTAATCTTCCTTGTTAGACCAGACTTCAGCATGTTGGTATTCATACTTGTTGTAACAGGCAGCTAACAGAACTAGGTGGTCAGACAGACTGACTCCATGCTGTCAATCTCTGGCTTGTCTGGTCCAGACCCCATTATTTTCACATATTTGTCGTGCAATTGATTGCGACTTTAATCAACAAACAAACAGACAGACAATAATGGATGTATGTTTGTTTTGGCAGGATAACATTTGGTTTCATGTGACTGTACTTTGTTTTGAGTCAGTGTATACTCTTATTAACTAATTAGCTGTTGGTTTATATGTAAGAAATGGTGTCAGTTGATTGGTTCTATACAGCTCTATTTGACCCTCCACTGTTTCAGCTGAACATTGAGCAGCAGAGTGTGTGTGAGAAGCTGCAGTTCTATCACCGGATCCTGGCCCCCATCCTCGAGACTTACCTGGTCACGGCCTACAGGATCTCAGGATATCTTGAGACAGAGATGCCAGGTGAGATCACTATCCTCAGTCTCCTATGGCTCTGGAACTGTTTATGTTTACACCCCCTTGCGACGATGGCAATGTCATATTGTTGAGATGAGGTGATTGGGTAGCCTAGTGGTTAAAGCGTTCACTTGTCATGTCAAAGACCCATGTTGATTCCATATATGAGTATAATATGTGCGGGGCGGTGGGGTAGCGTAGTGGTTAAAGCGTTCACTTGTCATGTCAAAGACCCATGTTGATTCCATATATGGGTATAATATGTGCAGGGTGATGGGGTAGCCTAGTGGTTAAAGCGTTCACTTGTCATGTCAAAGACCCATGTTGATTCCATATATGGGTATAATATGTGCGGGGCGGTGGGGTATCCTAGTGGTTAAAGCGTTCACTTGTCATGTCAAAGACCCATGTTGATTCCATATATGGGTATAATATGTGCGGGCGGTGGGTAGCCGTAGTGGTTAAAGCGTTCACTTGTCATGTCAAAGACCCATGTTGATTCCATATATGGGTATAATATGTGCGGGCGGTGGGGTAGCATTAGTGGTTAAAGCGTTCACTTGTCATGTCAAAGACCCATGTTGATTCCATATATGGGTATAATATGTGCGGGGTGATGGGGTAGCCTAGTGGTTAAAGCGTTCACTTGTCAGTCATGTCAGAGACCCATGTTGATTCCATAAAAGGGTATAATATGTGCGGGGCGGTGGGGTAGCCTAGTGGTTAAAGCGTTCACTTGTCATGTCAGAGACCCATGTTGATTCCATAAAAGGGTATAATATGTGCGGGGTGGTGGGGTAGCCTAGTGGTTAAAGCGTTCACTTGTCATGTCAAAGACCCATGTTGATTCCATATATGGGTATAATATGTAAAGCGGGCGGTGGGTAGCCTAGTGGTTAAAGCGTTCACTTGTCATGTCAGAGACCCATGTTGATTCCATAAAAGGGTATAATATGTGCGGGTGGTGGGGTAGCCCTAGTGGTTAAAGCGTTCACTTGTCATGTCAAAGGCCCATGTTGATTCCATATATGGGTATAATATGTGCGGGGGTGGGGTAGCCTAGTGGTTAAAGCGTTCACTTGTCATGTCAAAGACCCATGTTGATTCCATATATGGGTATAATATGTGCGGGGCGGTGGGGTAGCCTAGTGGTTAAAGCGTTCACTTGTCATGTCAAAGACCCATGTTGATTCCATATATGGGTATAATATGTGCGGGGTGATGGGGTAGCCTAGTGGTTAAAGCGTTCACTTGTCATGTCAGAGACCCATGTTGATTCCATAAAAGGGTATAATATGTGCGCGGGCGTGGGGTAGCCTAGTGGTTAAAGCGTTCACTTGTCTTGTCAAAGACCCATGTTGATTCCATATATGGGTATAATAATGTGCAGGGCGGTGGGTAGCCTAGTGGTTAAAGCGTTCACTTGTCATGTCAAAGACCCATGTTGATTCCATATATGGGTATAATATGTGCGGGGCGGTGGGGTAGCCTAGTGGTTAAAGCGTTCACTTGTCATGTCAAAGACCCATGTTGATTCCATATATGGGTATAATATGTGCGCGGTGTGGGTAGCCTAGTGGTTAAAGCGTTCACTTGTCATGTCAAAGACCCATGTTGATTCCATATATGGGTATAATATGTGCGGGGTGGTGGGGTAGCCTAGTGGTTAAAGCGTTCACTTGTCATGTCAAAGACCCATGTTGATTCCATATATGGGTATAATATGTGCGGGGCGGTGGGGTAGCCTAGTGGTTAAAGCGTTCACTTGTCATGTCAAAGACCCATGTTGATTCCATATATGGGTATAATATGTGCTCATTTCTAGTGTTTCCAGCTTTGATATCACGTACAGATCAACAAGGTTGCTGCTTAGTTTGGGTAGATGGTAGCAAGGGATGACCAACTAGGTATGGTTGGCCTGGTGTGTGTCAGTGTAGCCGGTCGGTAGGATAATGCTGAGAGGATTTTCATTCGGCAGACTTTTGATGACTGGCCAGGTTTGTCTGCCTCAGGCTGAAGTAATGATGCTCAGGCATGACATGTATCACACCTACTTGCTCAATAGGTCTGCACCATTCCACATTCTTGCCCCAAGATAAGACTCGATGAGGGTTAATTATTTTATTTTATGCTGAGAGCATTGAAGTCATATCAGGAACCAGTCTTTTGTCTAGTAGGAGGAGCATTGTTTACAGTCCGTCTTTAGTAAGTAATTTTGACTTTAGTAAAAATCTGTTCAATCTGGTAAGTTTAGCAAACTATAGTTTACATAAGAACGGAGTTTATTCGTCTACATTTGTGCTGATTCGCTTTCACTCTTGCCCTGGTCAGAGGATGACTTCATGCGGCAGCTGCTGGCACATGCTCAAGAACGTGTCACTAAGAACTCCTCCTTGTATGGTAAGTGTGGAACGGATGAGATATAAACAGGCATGTTCATTTCATGCTGGCCCTTTTCATATAAGTTGTTGACTGTATTACCTCTGAGTGATCCCTTAGCAAAGATATGCATGGTAATGTTATAATCACAGTGAATTGGATCCTTGTTTGTGAAAGGGACACAACTCCAGTCAGTAGTGCAACAAACCATGGGCCATATTTATCCAAGACTTTAATGCTGTTACGTTTCTATGCTACTGAGGAACATGTATTTAGCTGAAGAGAAGAAGGTAAAACATTCATGAATTTCAAGAATTATGTGTACTCAGCTCTTTTTGTAGGAAGCTGTGAAAATAATATCTGTATATAAATGTGATAATCATTGTAAATCTTGGCATGTGAGATCACTTTTACCTCCTAGTAACCAGTTGAGTAAAGATTCTATGACACTTCACTGATCAGACAAATTGTCTCCCCAGCTGAGAGTGCCTCAATGGACACTCTGAAGAATGCAGTGAAGGCTTACCAGAACATCAGAGTTGTGGAGTGTTACAATGCCAGCAACTTGAGGATTATCGGACTCTGTGACCATTACCAGGTCAGAGAGAGGCTTGGACATTATATTGAACTTCTGGAGACACTCAATCTCCCTTGGACCAAGGACAGTCGAACAGAGTAATCTCCCTTTGTTGAACCTCGTGAAGAGATTCCTGTTCATTTGTCACTGGAAGCGATGCCTTGTAATCAGGTACCTGATATGGCCGAGAATCTGTGATAGACATGTAGATTTCAGCTGCTTCCCTTGCACAAACGTGTGTCATGTTGTTGAGTATGTCGGACATGTACACCTTTCTTGTCGCCGTGCTGTGTGACTTGGTGTCACACTAACTGCCTCCGTGCATCACATGTGCATAATAACACCTGCTGTAGTGTCAAAATGAACTATATTTTGTGGCTTGTTTGTTTGTCATTCAACATATTGTATTTGTTTGTCTGCTGCTATGTGCAGTAATTTGTTGAAGGATATTGTACACTGTCCTGTTATGACCATAGAAGATGGGGGCCAGGACAGTGTCCAGGTAACCAACCTACTCTTACCTGGCCATACCCAGGTACCTGACCCCCTATTACCTGACCCTACACAGGTAACCCATCCCCTGTTGACCATCCTACCCAGGTACCTGACCCCCCTATTACCTGACTCTATACAGGTACCACCACCACCCCACCCCCATTGACCAGCCCTACCCAGGTACCTGACCCCCCTATTACCTGACTCTATACAGGTACCCCCACCCCCATTGACCCAGCTCCTACCCAGGTACCTGACCCCCTATCACCTGACTCTATACAGGTACCACCACCAACCCACCAACCCACCCACCCCATCGACCAACACTACCCAGGTACCTGAACCCCCCACCCCCACCCCCATTGACCAGCACTACCCAGGTACCCCCTCCCCCCCCAATCCCCACCCCCATTGACCAGCACTACCCAGGTACCTGAGCCTCTATTAACCAACCCTATCCAGGTACCAACCCCCTGTTACCTGGCCCTTCCCTACCCAACCCACTATAGATTTCAGTATTTGGGTACCAGTAGTTGGATCTTACGTCATCCCTGGCAAAAAGTATTTAGCTGCATGTATAAAACGAGTTGATGATGCAAACACTAAACCTGGCAATTTCTTCATGATGTTTAAGTCAGAAGGAAGTGTATAGACAGACAAAAATATGAATACTTCAACTTGTAGTGGGACCATGTTTTTTTTTAGTTTTCTCATTAAATAGTATATCACATGACTATCCACAGGTCTGAATAATCTTGTAGATATTTGGGTCTTCTCAGAGAGAACCACAATTGGGTCACATGTAAAAAAGCACAAGTAATATCTGTAAGTAATATATATTTGTTAAGCCTTTATTCTCTTTTACAAAATCTTAACTTATGTCACTCCGATTATCTGAAATTAAGAATGTGCAAACCAACAGTGTGCATTTATTTGATATATCTACCCACAACACATGTCATTAATTGTTGAATGTTGATGTATATCAAAGGTTTCTTGAAATTCTTCAAACTGGACCAGACTATTTTTCGTGTCTCTTTACCATTTTTACCCATTTTGGCACTTCAAGCGACAATCAAGAATAAAAGAATGTTGTGTACGGTGAGCTACAGCGCATGTGGTTCTTCATTTCTGTGTGTGTGAGTTTGTGTCCTGCACACTACTGACAAGATGAGCGTGTATTTTACATTGATGACGCCTTGGTCAGGGTTACTGTTCCTGCTGAATGTTTGTATATATATATGTTATTAGTTGATCAACTTGGGAATAATTCTATCACTATAGTCACAAATAGAGGTAATATAGTGACTTTAATTAATATACAATTTTTTGTTAGGGACCATTCATAATTTATGGCTGGGGGTTGATGATGATTTTTGTGGAGTAGCATGTACAATGCCCCTTCTAACATTGATGTACAAAGTAAGTGACCCCCTGCATGTCATGTACAAAATCAGTAACCCTCTTAGTATATGTGTACAAACTTGATGACACCCCTACCTCCCCAAGAACAAAAAAGGTGAAACCCCCATCACACACACACACCCCATCCCGTCCCTAAATTATGAATGGTCCCTTAGATATCATAAAATGATGTCTCTGTAACCATGGTAACCTTGAAAAATAGGAATTACTACACTTCTTCTGTATAGAAAGCAGTGTGAATTTAATGTGGAAGTCGTCTCAGAGAAATTGGCAGTTCAAGCAGGTTGTACTTGTGTCCCCAAAAGACCAGTTTGTTTGCTACCTCAGACTTTACGATATTACCAATAATGGCCCGGATATGTAAGGAGTTTGTTTGAGAGATTCTCACTGATCGTCATAGCAACTGTACAGTAGTGTGTGAAAAGGTCCATAGCAACATGGCTTCATTTACTAGCTTTGTCACAATTTATTGAAGACAACTTAGTGTGATATTTCAACAACAGAGACCTTATGTCTCCGCACAGGATAGGATACCCACATTTCCACATTCTCTCAGAAAAGAGACTGGGTACAATAAATGTTAGCTTACTGACTTATGGATTTTCTGTCTCTCGTGAAATAATGTTCAAAGTTCCTCACCAAGATTTGGAACTTACAAAAATTAATTCCCTTAACATGGAATCAGTCATATCTTGTTGCTGGTAGGTAGGTTGTTCTCTGTTTGGCAAATATATTAAGTGTCTTAGTTTGACAGAGGTGCTTATTGCAGTGTCCTGAAGATGACCACCCGACTGATCATCCTTATGGATGATCTTTGTTAAATTAAGTCATGACAGACCATTTGATTATAGACCCACTGAGATGAACTGTCCTTGTTATGACTTGATGAAGGCTATGCACGTTATTACTTGCATGCCTTGAACCCTTGTACAGATTGTAATGCATCCTTAACTGATTAAACTTAGTAAACACTGTCTTCCTGATCCTGATGCTGGAAGGAGATGGCACTGTGACACTTTGTGTGGTGTCTTGGCCAAGCATTACCTACATGGTTTCCAATTGTCAAAGATTTGTATTTCTTTTCAATACTGCTTCCAAGGTTTATACATCTTGCCATCCTTATTGAATGATACACACATACAGCCTTCAGGATGCTCAGTTCTCAGCTCCTAATTCGTGTGAGACTGTTCTTGTGTTCTAGCTTGACAAACTGTTCACACTGGTCCAACCTTTCTTTTTGTTCCAGCTGGTTCTAGTCTGAGCTTGACACAGTTCTGATGTTCCTAGTGGCCCCACAGATCTGGTGTTCTAGTAGGTCTGACTGTTCCTCTGGTCTGGTCAGACTGTTACGGTGTTGTAGGTTGTCCAACTGTTCTAAAGCTCTGGCTTGATATACTGTTCTAAGCAGGTCCGACTACTCTGATATCCGAACTGGTCAGACAGTTCTGATGTTATGAGCATGGCTGACTGTACTCAGATGAGCTGGATAGACAGTTCCAGCATGTCTGATTTCAGATGTTCTGGCAAGGCAGATTGATTCAGAGTACCTTATGCTTGTCATAAATGCTGACTCAATAGGTATAGAGGTTACCAAGGTTGTGTTCAAGTTCCATTGTTCAGTCTATCATTGTTAAGGGTTGATTGCTTACAGAGGAATAAATCAACATCTTGGGCAGCAGTGTCAAGTATGAAACTTAACCTAAAAGTTTACTAGCATATTCATTGTAGGACAACTAACAAAAATTCAGAATTATTTCTATTCTTCAGGATGATTTTACCATTTGGCAATCTGACTGGCTGGAACCAATATCTCTGACTGCCTTACCCCCAAACCTTTCTCTGTGACACACTGTCCCTATGTATACAGTTTATGTCTTGGGAGTCAAGGATGGCTTCCATGGTGAACTATTATGAACAAAGTTATTGAAACAATCTCCAGGGACCAGAGCTTCCAGATCAGCTAGATATGCATTTATCTGTCCTTCAGGAAATCGTGACCATGGCCATGATGAGGATGCTTATGATGGATGTAGTTGTTGAGATGTAGTTCCCAAGCTGTAGCGATATAGCCCACATCAGTTTAGATGACCGACCAGCCAACCTGGCAATGCTGCCTTCATTGATGATGTGTCTGATTGTGACTGGTACAGATCGTTATTTTTGTGTAACATGTAATAACCGGTGGATACAAGTATTTATTACTCGTCCGTGTAAGATACTGCAGTGTAATATTTTTACGGCAATATTACACTAGTGTAATAACGCTAGATGTATGATGTCATAATGGTTTACAGTTATGATGTCATAATGCTAATACATCTGTCACAATGGTATTAGACCTTGCTTGACTCGCGGAAAGCTGAGAGTCATCGTACTTTAGGCAGTTTCTATCAAATTATGTTGGAGAGTAGTAAACAGAATACTAAAACTCGCTTCCTTGAATTACCATTTTTATTAAACTAGTGAAAGATTTAGTATCAAAACGAGTGAAACCAAATCATTAACTCATTTAATAAAAATAGTATTACAAGGAAGGTTGTTTAGTATCCTCTGTGTATTAGTCTTTGTTCCAGTTTATTTCTGTTTCTATACTGATTCCCAAAGTTATCGATCATCAGTATTTAAGGGGCTATTCTGTAGTGATTAAGACAAGGCAGTATTCTCCCAAATATGTATGCTCCCAAACATTTTTGTTCCTCAAATGTTTCACAATTTATCTCAGGTTAAGATTAATGATTGCATTTCATATGATAATTTATATGTGTAATTATGGTGTATCCATCTGCATTTAGTATTATTATTTTTTTCAGTTATATTCGTAGACAGATGTATATAAACATTTTGCAGAACACATCGATGGAGATCAATTACTTTATGAGATTCGAGGACACTTGTGATAAAATAATTACTTTGACATCCAAGGACAATTCTGATAAATCTTTGATGATTCATACAGGATATATTTTTGAAAAATTTGATGATTGGAAATTTGAGTAAGTATTAATGTGTCATGATGTGTAAGGCATATCGTGTATTGTACATTAAACATGCAGTTACACATATACTTCTCTTCAAAAGTTTAGACTCACTTAAAACACTCACTATATGTTATGTACATATATATGGTTACATCGAAGATTGATTTCACCACTAACTTGGGGGGGAAACAACTGCAAACCTTATGCATCTGATTTGCACAAGGATCATGCATCAAATTGCTGAAAAGCATGTGCAAATATTGTGCATGTGAACAGCGGCGTTATGGTGTAAAGTTTTGTTAAGAATTCACAAATTTTCACTGATTTTCATCATTTACTGAACTCTTGACAATAATCTTTTCAACTTTACGAATTTGTTTTACAATACATCAGTTCATGTGTAAACAATACCTTTAAACCGTATGGCATATTTCGTAAAATTTAGTTTAGAACAGTTGCCTGAAATAAGTGGCTATATTTACACTAGTGAGTCTAAACTTTTGATGGGGAGTACATATATCATTCACATCTAACAAAGATGTCTTCCGTGATATCAGACTTAATGCTCACATGTCCATGTGCAATATGGTGGGAGGGACTGGCAGTGTTTCACAGACTAGCTGTGGCTGAGGTGTGTAAGTGACGCTTCTAGATGCTGTACTGGCACGTCTACTTGGGTGAGGCAGCTTATAGGTCAAGCAGTATTGAATGTCAAAACTTTATGAGTGTGGTGTACTTTGGTTGAAGGTATATGGGGTTTGATAGCCATTCAGAACATTTATTTTATTTTTTTTTCTTTAAATTAGGTCAGACCAATTTTATTTCTTGTTTTTTGGATCCGCCGGTTTTATTTATTCAAGAATAAGAAAAAAAATAAAAATAATTTTTCCCGCTCCAAAAATAAAATCCTCAGGTTTTTATTGTCAAAAAATGTAAACTTACAAAATAAATTTTTTAATTGTTTTTTGCCCCCATATGCACTTCATAACTTGCCCAAAATAAAACACTTTTAGTATGCAAAAGGAATATTACTTTGACTGGTGATTTTAATTTTTTCCCCTCCTGCCTTTAGGTTTTTGAGGGCAAAAATCTGTAAAACAAGAAATATAATTGGTCTGGCCTTATGATGTTAAACATGTACCTTACCCCACAACATACGCTAACTTTGTATTCAAATATTGGTGAACATCTGTGTTTGTTTGACATCATGTGAACCTCTCTCTGCTGAAGGTTGCAACAGAATTTTTTTAACTCAATCCCCAATTTTATTGAATAGGTTTTTCTGTTTCTGATATTGCAGCTTGGAAGCTTGTTATAGGATAAACTAGAACAATGTGAGGTTTGCTCAATGCCTTTGAACACTATGATAGAGAATTGGTGCATTTCATAAAAAACACTGCATTTCTAGTACCAAGATTCCTGTTACTTTGGTGTTTATTCCTAAATAGGTAAAAGGTTCTGTCAGGATGCCCCGGTACATATGTGTGTTGTGAGCCCACAGATACTAATATATACAGTGCTCACCATGATAACACTTTGATCACCTTAAAGTTGGCATTTCCTAGTGCACTATAATCCAGGTGAATATTTACAGACTGATCTCAGACAGGTTATACTGAACACTAACTGTGTGCTAGAGTGTGGATGACATTGCTGTGAAAGCTGTTCGAGATTTGCACATCGATGTAGCTGTAGTGTTAAGGGCTGTGGTGATTCACTGAAGATTCAGTGGTTCAAGACATGCTGTAAAGACTGCCTTTACCTGTATATATTACAGACATTGTTTGTTTAGTTATATCATTCAGCGTAATCATTCATAATTTGTGGCTAGGGGGTGATGATGATATTTATGGAGCAGCATGTACAATGTGAATGGCTCCCCCTGCCCAATTTATTTACCCAGTAAGTGACCCCCCTGCATGTCATGTACAAAGTCAATGACAACCCCTAGTACATGTGTACAAAATTGATGACCCCTACCTCCCCAGAACAAAATGGGTGAACCCCCCTTAATATCATCATCACCCACCTAGCCATGAATTATGAAGGGTCCCTTAGAGACATTCAATTTGGTTTGAAGCTGTGTTAAGCACAACTCTTACATTTTCTGATGGAATATAGGAATATTTGTGAAATATTTCGTTGATATGTAGAACATGTTTATGTTTGTTCACGTTTTATTTGGTATTAAATGAATTGGGAAATAATGTTTTTAGATATGCTCGAATTTACTTGTCCGTCATTGAGTGTACTATAAATGTCTTTATTGAGTAAAAACGCTTTGCAATTCAGTATTGTCTTTTGAGGTGGCAATGTTTGTGTTGCTCGTATCATCAATATTCTGTTGTATGATGGGCAGTGAATCGCGACAGCCCTCATTGATTATCACAGTAATGTGACTTAATATATTCTTTTTTTGTTGCACAAACAAATAACTTTCTTTTCATCTTTGACAAAACCATCATTGTATACCATGTGTATCAAGAGATGATGTAACTGATATTGACAATGCAATGGACACCTTCAATCATGACTAACAGTAATTAACATATTAATTACCAGAGTTTGAATGATGTACGTCCTGTGTGTTCTGATGTTAGTCCTGAGATTATGGTTCAGTGTACCTTGCTATTTATTGACTCTGTCTGTGTTTACAGGGTGTATGTATAGTACATAGGAACAGAGTCGCTCACTGTATAGTTACTGTTGTCATTAAAAGCTGATGGAAGTAGACTAGAATGTTTTGTTGTATGTTCACACCATTATTTTGTGTCTAGGTTGGTTTGTTGTTTAATGCCGCACTCACCAATATTCCTACCTGTGAAGGTCCGGGTTAGAATTGATCTTCAGTAACCCATGCTTGTCGTAAGAGGCGACTAAAAGGATCAGGTCGTCAGGCTCGCTGACTGGGTTGACACATGTCATCGTATCCCAATTGCGTAGATCGATGTTCATGCTGTTGATCCCTTGATTGTCTGGTCCAGACTCAATTTTTTGCAGACCGCCACCATATAGTGTGCGGGCGTAAAAGTCACAGGACATTGGGTCCTGTAAGTTTCAGATATCCGTCTGACCCATTGAAAATGCACAGGACCCATGGAATAAAATTAAACACACATTTCAGATTTATTATTTCTTATAATTGACATTGAAATTATTAACAAACATAAGATTTATAAACAGCAAACACGTGTCACATGTCACATAAAACAACTTCAGTCAAAGTCATTGTGAAGTATACAGTCAGACACTGGGGCCGGAGGGTTGTAGACTTCTGTCTGACCGTTGGCGAATCTGCCGGATTTGTCAGAGGGTCAGACGCCATTCGTGAACACTGACTCACTCACCAATATTCCATTACTCGTCTGTAAATCGAGTCTGGACCAGACAATCAACATCATGAGCATCAATCTACGCATTTGGGATACGATGACCTGTGTCAACCAAGTCAGCGAACCTGACCACACCTTAGTCACCTCTTACTACAAGTATGGGTTGCTGAAGACCAATTCTAACCCAGATCTTCACGGGTATTGTGTCTAGGGCTTTGGTGCTTTCCCTCACTGAAGTTTAAGAAACGCCTTCTAGGGCAGTGGTGCTGGGGTAGTCTTGTGTTTAAAGCGTCACACCAAAGGCCGGTTTGGATTCTCTACATGGGTACAATGTGTGAAGCCCATTTCTGGTGTGCCCTATTGCTGGAATATTGCTAAAAGTGGTGTAAAACCCAACTCACTGACTCACTCTTCTAGGGCAAGTGACTTTCTTTGAAATGCGCCTGCTCACCAAGCAGTAAATGGGTACCCGGTAGAATGAGATGGTAATGTGAGTTGATCTTCAGTAACCCATGTTTGTCGTAAGAGGCGATTAACGGGATCGGGTGGTCAGGCTCGCTGACTGGGTTGACACATGTCATTGTATCCCAATTGCGTAGATCGATGTTCATCCTATTGATCCCTGGATTGTCTGGTCCAGACTCGATTATTTACGGGCCGCCGCCATATACTAGTAGCTGGTATATTGTGTGCTGCGTAAAACTAAACTCACTCACTCATTCACTCACTCCAAGGAGCTGAGAATGAAAATCACCAATCCATTGACTGGGGTAGTGATAATGAGGCAATGCTTTGAGGATGTCAGTCCAAGTGTGGTGTGGGAATACAGCGCAGTATAAACGTCATCATCAATAATATTATCTAAACACCCAACATATGTTGAGGTATTATCACCAAAAAATGGAGTTGATATTTCCTTTTCAAAATATTTTATTACATTCTATTAATCATAGCGTGAAGCATGTAATTTAGATTTTTGACAAATCTTCTATACTTTTGTTTAAAACAGAAAAAAGGAATATTTTCTTCATGTAACTTTGAGTAGAAACTACAAGCAAAGAGGAAGTGGCATGTTTCAAACTTTTAGTTCAATGTCATTTCCAATGAAAGCAGATTAAATGAAATGAAGCTGAAGTGAAGTGTTGGAATGAAAACCAATACACTTTAAATTCTCCAATGAAAGAAATGAGTAAATAAACTATTCTGAGATAAGCAGGTATCGTGTGTCGTTAATATGACGTAATGTATAGTATTTTATTGTTAAACATTGTTGTAATTGTATCACAATGTCTGTTAGAATTCAGAAGAAGTGCATAACATTGTGTTGAAATGTTAATTAGTTTTGGGGAAAGTATTATAATATACTAGCAGGGAGACTCTATAAGTAGAGTATCCCTGATACTAGTAAGCAGTAATGTGGAAGTGACGATAGTTAAATATTTTGGGGATGATGTTTATTCTGGAATTTTTAGATAATCAACCATGGTCCATTTCAAAGATGTCCGCAAGGTTGTTGGACCCTTTTAATAACCAAAATAGAGATTGTATGAACAATGGTAAGTGTGACGCAAGGCATTAGGTGCAAAAAGGCCGCCAGTTATGCTCCCGGAGTGAGTGTTTCAGTTAATGGACATGGTGGTTAAAACGTCTTCCTCTTAAATCTGACTGTTTCTTGGTGCAACTTTACAGTTGATGCGACCTCAGTGCTGCTGTGTTGAAGGTAGGTACAGTTTCCTCCTGGCTGTGTTTCTGTGAAGGTATGTAAGTCTCATTCCCTGGTAAAGGTGTCAGCTGTACCCCGCTTGTACCGGATACCTTCCACAGTCGCCGGGCAAACGGGAAGAGCAGTTGCGGGTCCAGCGATTGAGGATATCTGCTTGCTGTGGGATAGATGTATACACCTCGTCAAAAGTATCGCACCACACATCTTAAAGTCAAATAAGAAAATATAATTTTCGTTTTTTTAAACTACATCTTCATATTTAATATACTACACCATCTGTGAACATAATATCACAAATACACCCTGTTCCGAGCTGCACGTGCGTGCTTGCGTTGAGCATGCTTGTTCAGGGGGGTCTGTTTAGCGTTACAAGCCCCTGTGCATTGGTGCAAAGGACTTCGATTTAACAATATAGCCGTGTATGGCCTGTTCATGTAAGTTTTATCATAAACGATAGGCACTGGGCGATCCAGGAGTGGTGGTGGGTGGGTGGTTCGACACCCCCTAAGCCCTAACTTTGACTTGGAGTTACCGAGACAATATCTATAAACGCCGGTGTGAATTCCAGATTCGACCTGGATATAGTCCGGGGCTTGCATTACGTCATCCTTTCAGCAGTGAGCGGGTACACTGTGACGTCACTGAAATCTTGTAAAGTGGTGTCAAACACAACTCATTTACTGTGTCTGGACTCACCCGTGATCAGGCTTGTGATTACTCCAACAACCATCGCTACCAAGAAGCCAATGAAGCCGTACCACATGTAGGACACATCATACAGGTGGAAGGGCACGTCAGACAATCTGTGGAACCAAGCAGAAAGTAGAGACTCATCCGAACAAGCAGTTTTGGTATCAATAGAAGAGACTGCACGACAATATTTCGGGTGTATCATGATGGCCTGTCAAAAACGGAGACAGGATCAAAAGCCTCTGACTTTGCCAAGGCTTAAGCAAACAGTAAAACAATGGACAGAATACGTTATTAACTTCGAGAGCCCCAGGTGTCATCACAACTAAATCGCCACAGATGCTGATTGTATACCAGCATTCATATAACAAAGACTTCTTATAATAATAGAAAGGTTTGTGTCGCCTTTTTGATTCCGTGTTTAACAAATTGAATTTTGACAAGACAACGTTGGCAATTAAATACTATACAAGACTAACCTGGAACCACATTGTATACATGGTTAATACTTACGTGTTGGGATGGGATATCTGAATATCATCCTGTGGGAATGTTGTATTGGGAAGTTCAAGGGTTGTGAATGTCATGGTGCTATTCGCTTGATATGATTCCACTGCGCATGCGTCTAGAGGTGCGGGGTGTAAAGGCGCGGTCGCAACTCCATGTTGTTTTTGCAGGACGCTGATTGATACAGTAACCGCCAGAGCTGAAATACCTCCACACAGAGCTCCCTACAAATGAAAATGAAACCCTTTTTAGGATGACAATTCACTTGGTCCCAGCAGCGGTGGGGTAGCTTAGTGGTTAAAACATTCGCTCGCCACGCAGAAGACCTGGGTTCAGTTCCCCACAAAGGCAAACAGTATGAATCCCATTACTGGTGTCAACCGCCGCGAGATAGCTGGAATATTGCAAAAAGCGGTGTAAAATCATACTCACTCACTGGGTCCCCAATCAATATGTCTCTCACGAAAACTCACAAACGAATTCTGGAACTGTCACTTTCCATTCCATTCCATCTTTTATCAAAATCTAACATTAATCAATTACACGAGGAAAAAAACCCAATAACATTTATTACTTGCCAAATATATTAATTTCATGGTCCTCGAACAATATTATTAATGATTTTAGAGATCCATTTAAATTCAATTTCGATTGATTGCACAGCTATGCTTTCCCTTTTGTGTTCAGTGACAGCTGTTTGGCGGATAATGTTGACTGGATATTCTTTGGCGCTGACGTTATAATAAACATGTTTTTGTCAACAATATGTGGAATCTGTTTCAGTTGTCCCATAAAGAACCATCGTCACAGTTTCAGTCATGCTCTAGAGAATCATTTAGAAATCATCTGACCACTTTGTTTGCCTTCGGGAAAACAGCTCCCAGGAAGAACATCCCCAACAAAGGACCACCTGCAGCTCCATCAACAGCCTGTATCATCTGAAACAAGGGACTCAATCTGAAGCTGGTTTGTGTAAATGAAAGGAAGCACACATAATATATGTCAAAATATAACAAATCTGAAGTGGACGTGTAAAACAGTTTAATATCTAGGAAAATGACTCCTCATTATTTAGGTAAGGCATTGTTGGTATTCATGTTCAAACCAATGATCTGAAGTAAATATCACACATACCGGGGCAAATAATGGTGTCTCTAATATTTTCCCGGTATGTGGGTGTGTCTTCTTTAGCGATTTTCAACACCGATTGCCAATTGACGCCATTTACTGCTGATGTGCTTCTTTAGAAAAATACGTGATGACGTCAACCATTGTTCATATGGTCACAAATTGATTAACATATGCCACCCAAACAATAGGAATTCACTGGAGCTTCTCTGTAGGATACCATTTCATGTTTTCTTCAATTTCTGCTTTGAAAAATTAAAGGTCACATGCAACCAAAAAATCAAACATAATTAAAACACAATTATCACTTATTCATGACTTACAATATACATTGCTGATTATGAAAAAACATATAAACAAAATTATAAGCGTAGAATCGCAAATCAAAAGTGCAATATTTTGTACTTGGGTTTACTTCCCAAGAAACGAAGCAGCCGGGATACCGAACCCAGTCAGAGCGGGTAGGTGTGCACTCAAGTGTAACGGCTGGTTCATTTGCAGATGCCCTCACGGCTCATTGTGTGTGTATATATAGAGATGTTGGGTTTTGTAAATACATGCTCATTTTTGATGTATAACATTTTATCACACATAGGGGCAAATAATGGTGTCTCTAATATTTTCCCGGTATGTGGGTGTGTCTTCTTTAGCGATTTTCAACACCGATTGCCAATTGACGCCATTTACTGCTGATGTGCTTCTTTAGAAAAATACGTGATGACGTCAACCATTGTTTATATGGTCACAAATTGATTAACATATGCCACCCAAACAATAGGAATTCACTGGAGCTTCTCTGTAGGATACCATTTCATGTTTTCTTCAATTTCTGCTTTGAAAAATTAAAGGTCACATGCAACCAAAAAATCAAACATAATTAAAACACAATTATCACTTATTCATGACTTACAATATACATTGCTGATTATGAAAAAAACATATAAACAAAATTATAAGCGTAGAATCGCAAATCAAAAGTGCAATATTTTGTACTTGGGTTTACTTCCCAAGAAACGAAGCAGCCGGGATACCGAACCCAGTCAGAGCGGGTGGGTGTGCACTCAAGTGTAACGGCTGGTTCATTTGCAGATGCCCTCACGGCTCATTGTGTGTGTATATATAGAGATGTTGGGTTTTGTAAATACATGCTCATTTTTTGCGTATAACATTTTGCAATCAACAGACATCATAACATGTCATGTGTACAAGTATCACACCTGCCTGTCTGTGTAATTGCATAATGTGACAGAGACCGAACTCGGGCCATAAATCAATGCGTTTGGCGTGTCAATGTTCATGGTGTATTGCCTGATAGGTGTTAAGTTCAAATTGCATGTGGTCAGTGATCGAAGTTGTGTATTGAATATTGTCATGAGCAGACAGGCAGGCAGACACATATAGGTGTCAATAAAACAGACATTGAGTTTTGTCTGTGACAACGACATAGCTATATCACAGTTAGAAATTCTGTCAACGCTAAATAATGACATTGCTTTTAAGTATCGAACTGAGAAAGTGACTCGGTAAGAAGAACGTGTGGTGAAATAGACAAATGAAATTATATAAACAGTTAAATCGGTAATCTACTGTCATAACATATAAAAAGCTCGCGCCTGTGAAATATCAACAAAACATTAGAAAAATAGCTCACACCAAAGCCTTCACCGAGTATTCATCGGACAACCCGCTTTCTAGCTGCGCAAACCTATTTCACTGCGCATGTGCTATGAGCACAGCCAGGCGCAGCGCAACCCAGCCGTTGAAACTACATTTCCCCCAAGCGCTGGGGGAAAATTAGTGAATCGTTGGAACTCCGATTTCGCGCGGTTTTTTTCATCGCATTATTTTTCAACTGTATAAGTTGAATTTGCATTTTGATGATTTGTTTCGGTAAGTCCATACCGATAGGTTTCAGAATCTGCAAAGTTGCGTTTTACGTTGCATGTGACCTTTAACGATTGTCTTAAAATGCCAACGAATGAATGCGGTAAATCCCCCATGAAAGGTTGGGGTTAACACTATTCGTTCACTGTTCACACATAATCCATAATTCTTCGTAGCTCATCAGTTAAATGATGTAAGTGTAATGTGTTGATTCCCAAGGTGAAACCAAAAGGTTAACCGGGAGTCCGTAAAGAAAAAAACATGAGAAAACAACACACAACAAAGAAATGTGATGTAGGTAACAATTGTATTGTAAGGTATTCGACTAGGTCCACAAGTCAATACAAATCCATTTAAAGGCATCAACCTGACAGTACAAAATAGCGTGTCAGTGCAAGTTGAAGTACAGTATCCATAGCTTATGGCTATGCCCAGTGCTCACTGCTGGTATAGTCTGTTTGGGTCAAAGTGATACCGATGAATCACGATCTAACATCAAATCGGTTCATGATCAAACATTCATTTCAACGCAGAATGTAATGAAAACATCAAACCAACTCTGGAAAAAAGTTTCATAACGTTTGTCTCCAAAATAAAAAAGTTACTGAGCAAACTATAACCATTTTGTTTTGATTTTCCGTGTGAAGTTTTACGAGGGTAAAGTAACAGTAAACTGTTGCAGGAACACCCTCAAGGGCGGAAAGCAAGGCCAGCTTAGGATGTCAACATTTAGGGGTTGTATCAAAACTCTTCCGGACTGAAATCTGAGGAAATTCCCTTGGACACGCCAGGAAGCTATGATCTCAGAAAACCTGATTCAAATAAGTGAAATTAAACACGGAAGGCAGGAAGATAACCTGTGATTAAACTCAACAATTTGTCTTCATGCTGATTTGCACCAACCTGTGTGACGGGCCCCTGGAGTGATCGAATCAGATACGCCAGTCCTATAGCCAGCAGACCGTAGAAACACACTGAAACATTCACAACACCGTGTAACAGTCTGGCTCTGAATTTCCCAAACAAATTTCAAAACACACGTCACTACGCAAATAGGAGGGAAAATGGGTTTACATTCACATAACTCATAGCTGTGAAGACACATAACTCATAGCTGTGAAGACGAGGGATTGCATTGCTTCATACTCGTCATTTTATTGTATGTGGCGACTGGAATTTCATGACAAAATGTCCCCAAACTCAAACCATAAATGCTACCTCTACTGTGAGTTATCTGACAAGCCTGCTGAGTTGTTTCTACAGTTGCTCTACTGGCGAAATTGTAGGCGAGTAGGCCATTTCGTCCTTGTTCTGTCTCAAGCAACTGGATCGGGTCAGGCATTGTAGCCCTGAGATGTCTGCCTTGGCTTCTCCATCAGACACAGGAAAATGTTCCTGGATTTTCAATTCTGTAACGACCGGCATGTATATCTATCATTTGAAAGTCCGAAGAATTAGTGAAAATTCTCCCCGTACTATAGTACTACGACGGCCAAACTAATTTAGTTTCCGTACGTTAACATCTCCACACCAAGACGTCTGTACCCTAGGATCCGAGTATTCATGTTTAAGGGCAATCCCTTGACTTTGTAATAACGGTGATGCCTTGGCGAAGACTCTGCTGCGTCTCACCAAAGTGTCTTGGTTCTTTTCGTTGGTTTGCTTACTTTGTTCTGGTTCTCAACACTTCATAAATGCTCTGCATTGACTCGGTACTGTTTCTTCTCCTCCACAATTCAGAGGTAGCCAGATAGTAGTCTCCCCTCCTTGTGTCCTGAGCACGTCAATACTGGTCACGAGGGTCTGGATTAGCTGGAAACTATGTTGCAGTCTGGGGATCACAGACATGTGTGTTCTCATGTCCACTTTCCATCTTACAGCTCAAACCTTTCCTCGAGACTCGCCAATGAAGCATAATAAGAAACTGTCTGTGGATTCATCACCGGTACACCTTGTGAAGGTGATCCTGAACCTGCCCATGCGCGGACATTAATCGTTCAGGAACACAACCCTGATCTGTTAATATAACTGTGAATCAATACCATCAAAGGTTGCTAACAGCACTATCGGATCCTTATTATAAAGTAACTATTAATCAACGTAACATACTGAACAGTACATTACATACTTTGTTATGACAATCAAATGTCAGCGTTCTCCACATATATAAGGGACCGTTCATAATTTAAGGCTAGAGTGAGTGAGTTAAAATTTATCGTCACATCGGCAATATTTCAGCCATATCGATCGTGACGAGAGAACCTTATAAAGCCTTTAAAAAAGTATGAAATATATTTAAAAGTTATAAAATCCTGTCACCCAAGGTCCTTACAACAACCAGTACATCACAGTTTATTTAAAGCTAGTGAGGGGGCATATAAAATAGTACACTGTTAAGTGACAAGACAATGTAAAGTGGGCTATAGATCGCCAGCAAATTCATGGCTGGGGGGGGGTGGGGTGTGTGTGTGTGTGTGTGTGTGTGTGTGTGTTTGATGGTGATGAATTTAGCGTCGGGGTGGGGGTGTTGTACATGCCACTCCATAAAAATCATCATCACACCTCCAAGACATAAACAATGAACGGTCCCTATGGTCGACGTGTCTCTGTCATATTAGCAGTGCATAAGTTAGTACTGCCACAATCCAACGCCCACAAAACAATATACTTATGGAAAGGCTAGTCAGTCCTTCACCTGAGTGAATTCCGAAAACGTACGGCATAAGTCAAAATAGGGAATTGCATCAGACATAATATTGAAATCTTGGTTAAAGTGGATGCTCGATTATACATTCAAGGGTGTAAACGTTAACAGTGAAGGCTGGAGCGTTTGGACTTGTGGTCGACGCGAAGTGAAAGTTGACAGTTGGAAAGGGATAATTTAAGAAGATATATAGATTATACTACCTGCCACTTTGGCAACAATGGTGGATGTCCTCTCTGAAGCTCGGCGCAGGGGGACTGCCAGAACGTCCTCCACTGTGTTGGCGGCCAAAGCATTGATTCCCGAGGACAGAGAACTGCACATATCATACAGGTAAGTGCACATGTCATACAGGTAAGTGCACATATCATACAGATAAGTGCACATATCATACAGGTAAGTGCACATGTCATACAGGTAAGTGCACATATCATACAGGTTAGTGCACATATCATACAGGTAAGTGCACATGTCATACAGATAAGTGCACATATCATACAGGTAAGTGCACATATCATACAGGTAAGTGCACATATCATACAGGTAAGTGCACATATCATACAGGGTAGCATATCATACAGGTAATGCACATGTCATACAGGTAAGTGCATCATATAAGTGCACAGGTCATAGTGCACATATCATACAGGTAAGTGCACATATCATAAGTGCACAAGTCATACAGGTAAGTGCACATATCATACAGGTTAGTGCACATATCATACAGGTAAGTGCACATGTCATACAGATAAGTGCACAAGTCATACAGGTAAGTGCACATATCATACAGGTAAGTGCACATATCATACAGATAAGTGCACATATCATACAGGTAAGTGCACATATCATACAGGTAAGTGCACATATCATACAGATAAGTGCACATATCATACAGGTAAGTGCACATGAAAACAGAAACATTCGTCATTAATTATAATATCATATGTTATATGTGGGATTACACTTTCTTAGTAAAGCACACATGGGTTGGGTCTAAATGGCATTGTGTAATCACAATTATAACATGTTTGCCATTTTCAACAACATATGCATGCATAATATCACTGGTATGTTTTTATGTCTAAAAGTTTTCAAAACGCAGTTTAATATATCATATGAAGTACAGCACCACCTTTACATGAGAGTGAGTATTCTCACACGAGGATGTGAGGCGGTTACGTTCCACATTCCGAATGAAGACACTTACATAATGAAAATATATAATATCCTTCTCCTCTCAAACTAATCTAGTCGTCGATAGTGACTTGATTGTGAGACGTGAGTATGAGTGTAGGTTGTAAACTCCGTGGTAATGCACCAGACAATCTGTAGGCTGCCACTGACGTCATCGTCTGATTCTGTACGATGACCTTACCTGAGCGCTCCGCTGAAGAGGGCAGACATGTAGAGGCCTGCCAGGCCAGGGTATGTGCTGAGGACGTCCAACACAAAGAACGGCATCATCTATACAACGACGTCATCGACTTACTATACACTGTTACTGGATGACGTTTTTAAAGAATAAATTATAGGCAATTTCATGTAAGAATATAGATATACATCCATATGATCGTCGTAAGTATGAGTTGTAAGTACGGGGCACTCAGCAATATTCCCGCTTTATGACGGCGGTCTGTAAATAATCGAGTCTGGATCAGACAATCCAGTGGTCAACAGCATGAGAATCGATCTGCGCAAATGAGAACCGATGACATGTGTCAACCAAGTCAGCGAGTTTGACCACCCGATCCCGTTAGTCGCTTCTTACGACAAGCATGGGTTACTGAAGAATTCTAACCCGGATTCTAACCCGGATCTTCACGGGTGATCGTCGTAAGAAATGCATACACTGATCCATCGGGTGTTGAACGTTAATGATGTTCATGACATCAATCACTGGTGAATTAGTTGAATATTTACTGAACGCCGATGTATAGCTTGAATATTTACTGAACGCCGTCGTATAGCTTGAATATTTACTGAACGCCGTCGTATAGCTTGAATATTTACTGAACGCCGTCGTATAGCTTGAATATTTACTGAACGCCGTCGTATAGCTTGAATATTTACTGAACGCCGTCGTATAGCTTGAATATTTACTGAACGCCGTCGTATAGCTTAAATATTGCTCAGGGTGGTGTACCACAACACATGGATTCTCTGATGTTTTAGTAGATGATCACTCTGTGGATTCAGGCAAAACAGAAGTAATACATGAGAAAATCAAATTCAGAACAAATACACAACTCGATAGCGGTATGCTTATAAAATATAATCTGACATTTAGTGAAAAGAGGGGTGTTAGACTAGTGGATACAGATGTTGCTTGGAGAAGTCAATGAGACGAGTTCAATTTCCCACATGGATTCATCAAGTACATTCTACATTCTTGTATGTCATTTCCGATAAATGTGCCATTAAATATTGCTAAAGGTGTCGTATATTCTCATATTCTCACTGGGCAGGGTGTACCTGGTTCCTGTTGGTGATGTGTCCCGCCTCATACGGATCACACTTGGTGGTGAAGTAGTAGGCGACAAGGAACAGTCCTGTGATCACCAGCAGGACACCGTACAGCAGGAGCATGGGGATGTTCAGTAGGAAGGCTCTGTAATGTCAGTCAGTCAGCGTTAAGATTTAACTTCAACCGGCAATATGTCAGCCATATCCCATAAGAGTGAGTGAGTGAGTCAAACGTTAGTGTCACACCGGCAGTATTTCAGCCATAACGTGACTATATGAGTGTTGTATATCAAAAATAAACTGAGGCAATATAAATATCTGTCAACGAAGGAAAGTAAAATATATACTATTATATCACAGATGTAAACTTAAAACTACTGACTGACTGAGTTTGGTTTTACGCCGCTTTTAGCAATATTCCAGCAACATCACCAGAAATGGGCTTCACACATTGTACCCATGTGGGGATTCGAACCCGGGTCTTCGGCGTGACGACCCAACGCTTTAACCACTAGGCTACCCCACCGCCCCTAAACTTAAAACTACCATGTAATCATATTTTTTTTTATTTCTACAGAACAATACAATATAAAACCTTGTAAATATTACCTTGTAAATTCCTTCCACAAATCCCTGTTGTCAATGTTTTTTATATTGTAAATATGACATATGTAACTTCTGGGAGAGGGCGTTCCTAAGCTGGATAACTTGTGCCCAATTCATTTCATTTACGAATAAAATATATTTAAAACAATATAAAAATGGGCTTTAGATCGCCAACAAGTGAAGGTAGATCACCATACTAGGGACCATGGGGACCTACAGTACTTTGGCTACCTGCTACCTAGCTCGGTTTACACCATCCCTTCAGCAACTGGCAACATTGAAGAATTGTAGCCAAAATTGATATGGACTTACAGTACCTCATCAGAGGGAAAATAATATCGTAAGATAAAGTTACACATTGAAAACAAATATATAATAACTAGACCAATACAGATTTACATTTAAACTAGTTTGAAAGCTATTTAACAACACAGCATAGAAACATGTTGTAGATCCCCAGTAACCGCCCTCCACCATACCGGAACATTGTGACCTATGACCCTCCTTCTAAATGCATGGTTCACCAGCAGGATCTATACCATCCAATCGGAGACTAGCGATTGTAGTCATCAATTTACATTTCTTAACATACATTAAAACTATTTTTGGAAATGATGCTTTAAAGAATGATCTCACAATAATCTCATAGAAAAAAACAATTTTACAGAAATTCAACCCTCACTGACGGTAAAGCCACAAACAATCTAATTAAATTCGTATAAACTATATCGAAATTTAATAATCAGTTTAGTTTGAATTAAATAATGATTAAATAAGAACTTATATAACTGAAAAGATTCTTGTTGTATGAAAACCTGCCTAGTATTTATCCCTTGGGATGGACACATTTACACATACCAGAAGACATCCCGATGGTGCTCTGTGAACGTTTGTAGCATTAGTGAGGTGTGGTTAGGTGAAATTGGGTTTAACGTCGTACTTGAGAATATTTCGCTCATATGACGACGTGCATGCGTGTGTATGTGTATGTGCGGCTACGTGTACTAGCCAAGACTTAAGCTGGTTTTATAGTGCTAGCCCACTGAGATACCATGCCACAGTGAAGCATGAATACCCCACTCAGACACATTATACAGACTCCGAGCCGACCAGTCCTTGTTGTACCCATTAATACCGAGCGCCAGGCAGGGACCAACAAGTACCATATTTTAACGTCTTTTGGTATGACGCGGTCGGGGATCGAACCCTCGACCTTCCATTCTCCGGGTTATAGCATTAGTATACCATTAGTAAAAGGCTAGGTAAAGAACGACATGTATCAAAAACGTGGACATTTTAAGTTGGATGGCTTTCTACGGGCCGACTTCGGCTAGAACGTATCCATTATTGTGTTAGACTATGCTTCATGGTTTAGTGTCCGCTTGTTGAGCCTTAACATCTTTATCTTTACTTACATCGAAGCTCCTTTCATTGACCGAATGGCGCACATTCTCTGCATGGTTGACTGGATGAACATGTTGACATACCAGTTGAAGAAACCTCCCAGACATATTCCCCAAACACTGTGACGAACACGGGGGTCGGGGCTTAACCTACAGAAACATTGTAATAATTCACAGAAGAGGATTATTTCTCCTTGACAAAAACATTCTTTTGATTACAGCTGTATTAGAGCTGTATGATGTTGTTTGTAAACAAATAGGGTCTGAACCAGACAATCCAGTGATTCTCACCATGCGATACGATGACAGAACATGTGTTTATGAATCAGTATTCAAGTATAAGACAAAATATTATGGATGTCACCTTCTTCTTCATTCTATAGGTCATTCACCTGACGAAAGGGCAAGGAATACCTCAGAAACGTTGTGTCAGGTGAATCACCTGACGAAAGGGCAAGGAATAGCCCAGAAAACGTTGTGTCAGGTGAATCACCTGACGAATGGGCAAGGAATAGCTCAGAAACGTTGTGTCAGGTGAATCACCTGACGAAAGGGCAAGGAATAGTTCAAAACGTTGTCTATAGAAAAAGAAGAAGTTGACATCCATAATATTTTGTCTTATACTTGAATACCAACTTCTATATGCCTCTCAAGTACCTCACTATGAAATAGTGATGATACCAGGTGTTCGCGAAAAGGTGAGATAATAATCAGCGGAAACAAACGTTTCAAGACAAATTAATTACCCACTCGTTAAACTGTATTCGTTCCTCGTGGAGGTTGATTTCCCATACTTCCTGAAGAGTCCCGATCCTGCCCATGCTCTGTTAAAAAGAAGATAACATAGTAATGCTATTTAATCCCAAAGCAGATTTGACCAACGTTAAATGTAGTTCCCAATATTATCAACAATTTGAAAGTGATCGTCATTAACACTATTTGAAAGCGGGTAGACGTGAACACGATCTCACCAGCACTATCACCAGCACCATGCCCCCAAACATGAACACAGACTGCACTACATCCGTCCACACCACGCTCTTTATGCCACCCTGAAATAGATGAGAGGAAACTGAAACCTGGTCTATGTATACATTAGCCAGAGAGGGGTAAATCTGCTCTATGTATAGGTAAGTCTGCTCTATGTATACATTAGCCAGAGAGGGGGTAAGTCTGCTCTATGTATACATTAGCCAGAGACGGGGTAAGTCTGCTCTATGTATACATTAGCCAGAGAGGGGGTAAGTCTGCTCTATGTATACATTAGCCAGAGACGGGGTAAGTCTGCTCTATGTATACATTAGCCAGAGACGGGGTAAGTCTGCTCTATGTATACATTAGCCAGAGACGGGGTAAGTCTGCTCTATGTATACATTAGCCAGAGACAAGGTAAGTCTGCTCCATGTATACATAGAGAGGTGTAGCCAGAGGGGGTAAGTCTGCTCTATGTATACATTAGCCAGAGAGGGGTAAGTCTGCTCTATGTATATACATTAGCCAGAGACGGGGTAAGTCTGCTCTATGTATACATTAGCCAGAGAGGGGGTAAGTCTGCTCTATGTATACATTAGCCAGAGAGGGGGTAAGTCTGCTCTATGTATACATTAGCCAGAGAGGGGGTAAGTCTGCTCTATGTATACATTAGCCAGAGACGGGGTAAGTCTGCTCTATGTATACATTAGCCAGAGACGGGGTAAGTCTGCTCTATGTATACATTAGCCAGAGAGGGGGTAAGTCTGCTCTATGTATACATTAGCCAGAGACGGGGTAAGTCTGCTCTATGTATACATTAGCCAGAGAGGGGGTAAGTCTGCTCTATGTATACATTAGCCAGAGACGGGGTAAGTCTGCTCTATGTATACATTAGCCAGAGACGGGGTAAGTCTGCTCTATGTATATGTACAGCCAGAGACAGAGGTAAGTCTGCTCTATGTATACATTAGCCAGAGAGGGGGTAAGTCTGCTCTATGTATACATTAGCCAGAGACGGGGTAAGTCTGCTCTATGTATACATTAGCCAGAGACGGGGTAAGTCTGCTCTATGTATTATGTAGTTAGAGGGGTGTTAAACCTGCTCCATGTATAGATTAGTAAGTAATCAACTCTGCTCCATATAAAAGTGCGCGCGCATTAAAGTGCGCGCCCATTTCATTAAGCGTGTCATTGAGGCGCATGCTATTTGAATCATGTTATCACGACCATTTTGTAGTGCATACGTTGAATAATGCAATCAAAGCGAATAAAAAGAATACGTTATCAAACTCTCCAGCAGCAATAGCCGCATCCTTATGTATGTTTGTATCCTCTGAAAAAGACGGTCACCAGTCCTAAATAACAAGATATATTTGCATTCATGGAGAAATACGGAAATTGGAGACACAAGAAAAAATACCCTTATTTGAACTCTTTGCCTGAAAGTATGAAAGATAAATTGCATTCAAACTCATGAAATTCGAGGCATTGTTCAGGAGATACGAATGTTCACCATATACCACACGAGATTATTCTCTTGAAACCAACTCTCTTCTCATTTGAGCAAACACGAAATGTAACGCTAGCACCATTGGTTCCCGAAGAAATTCATCTGAATTGAGAACATGTCGGCCTGTCGCATCCTTACCTCAGAAAACAATGAAATAGTTTCTTTTGTATATTTTAAAACTCTTTCACGACATTTACATTATCTATGCATAAATATAACTGAACAAAACAATTCATGCTGGGAATGTCCAATAATATATTGCTGAGTCAGGAAAATATAGCACCATCATTTTTCCAAATATTAACCAGCAACCTTAATAAACAAGGAAGTATTGTACTCACAATGGACGTGTAGACAGTTCCCACAAGTCCGACAATCACGATGGACATCCAGAGTGGGATACCTGCACCTTGAGAAGAATGAGCAAAACGGCCACACTGTGTTGTGACGACAGGCAGGAGCAGCTTGGTATCGACTGTCGTATTGTCGTAATTTTCACAGCTGATTTTTCCTTTGTTTTTAGATATAGGTAAGGTTTACTATTCTTTTGCCCTGAATTGCCAAACAATGTGGCAACGAGACATTGCGACAAACAAAATGTCAGATTATCGCGCGTTGTTTAATTTTGACACTTTTACTTGTTGTTAAAAGTGTGAACACGCTATAAGGTCCCTTTAAGGATTCCGTACAAGTGATTATTCAATGCCCCACAAACCTCACTATCATGTTAACCAGATTCCCTGTACTCCCGCACTAAGTCTGTTCAAGCATTGAAGTACTGATGTCATCAAGGTGAACATTAACAACTACATTTCCTTTACGAGCTGCCCTGTTAGCAGCTGCTTCAGGTACTTACATGTTTGGAGAGCCAGAGCCGGTGAGAATAACGCCACAGCCATGTATATCACCTAGATAATAGATTTATAGGATTAGAATATACCACAAAGTAGAACTCGACAAATCACTCAGAGCTTTGGATACAAAACAGTGTGGTACACATGTCCCAATGCCTGCGTTTGTAGTGAAAGAACAGATGAGAGGGGCATATCTGTTTAGACAAGAGCTTCGGTCTAGAAGATACGAGCATAGCGTTTGAATCCGTAAGTCTGTAAGTTTTGGTAGCGGAGAATAAGTATTCATGGGAAAAAAGAATATAAAACATTGATGGATTATGGATGATCAAAGTCAAGCTAAAATAGGTGAACCTTAAAATTGCATTAAACATCAAAACTCTGGCGATAAAAGATTACTTTGAAAACTTGATTAGTGCTAGAACTGGTGTCCACGTGTACAATTCTGATCTGGATAAATCCACTTTAAACGTGACAACTGTTTTAGAGTCCTACCGTTTGTAACATTCCAAAGAATGTTCCCATCATGCGCACTGCAGTTGAATCGAATCTTCTTCCAAGGTACTTGTTAAAACAGAAAATGTAGTCGTGTGATCATATAGAGCTCTTGCAAAAATATTAAACGTCCCGGATCAAGAAGATTCGACACAGATTTGGCATATGTCAAAGGATATTTCTCTCAAGAATAATAAAACATTGGTATCCAACATACGTACATATATCACAGTGCATGAATGAGATGTATGAGTGAGTGAGTTTAGTTTTACGCCGCTTCTAGCAATTTTCCAGCAATATTACGACGGGTGACACCAGAAATGGGCTTCACTCATGGTATCCATGTAGGGAACCGAACATGGGTCTTCAGCGTGACGAGCTAACACTGAAACCACTAGACTACCCCACCGCCCTGAATCAGGAGTGCAATACGCCCTTAGGAGATTACTGTCAGTCAACTCGCATGATTATTGGAGCGCACAACAGACAGGGATAATGTATGATAACATATGAATACGAAAGCTTATATTATCTTGCTGCAAGTATGTCATCGGGAAAACATTAGAGTGGTCAGAGGCAGCATAACTTCCTCATCTTTTCCTTCTTTACGTTTGTAGGTAAATAATACACATGGCGGGTTCTGCCGGTTGAGCAGTCATGCTTACTCTTTTATTGGTGTCATCACTGAGTGGTTCATTCACATGATCTCCACGGCTGTTTTACTCTTTAGGGATCGTTAATAATTTATGGCTAGGGGGTGATTACTTTTATGGAGAAGCATTCACAGCGTCACCACGAGAAGCATTTACAGTGTGAATGGCACCCCCCAAAAATTATGTACAAAGTAAATCCGCCCTATGGGAACACCTATGGGATGAACTCGATCGACGTGTACGTCAAATATGTCAAAACACGCCTCAGACACTTCCACAATTAGCCATCGCATTGCAGGGAGAGTGGGGAAGAATTCCGCAAGTGCGACTTCGTCGACTTATCCAGTCTGTGCCGAGGTGGTGCCGAGCAGTGATTGCTGCCAATGGTGGCCATACAAAGTGCTGACTTTGACACCATCTTGTGGACTCTAGTAAACAGAAACACAACAATAAAGGTTGCTGTTGTGTTGGCGAAATCCTTGCCTTGTGACGTCTGAATTTCACACACACACACACACACACACACACACACCCCCCCCCCCCCCGATTTCCGATCCATAAGTTAGTATGGGAAGCACGATGCTGTCGATATGCTGTAGTAATAGGAAGTCCGCCACATGATAAATTAAGGTTATGGAGTAAAGAACATGCCTTTACTGCTTGTTGCGCCAATGTTGAAGTGGCTTTTGTCCAGACGGCTTTTGGTGTGAAAACAAGTCCTAAATATTTATAATGTAAAACAACCGTTATCTCGGATCCTTTGAAGTGCCATTTCTCATAAATATCCTTCATTTCTATACACAACTATTTGGAATTTGTTAATATTCAAAGGAAGCCCCATCTATCACAAAAGTCACTAAAAATATGTATTTGTTGTTGGCGTCTTCGTGTACTATCTGCAGAACTTGTGACGTCACCTGCGTATCATAATGAACATATATTGGATGCATCTTCTGATATCAAAATCCCATCTTCCATCTCTGTAACTAATTCGTTGATATAGAGCGAAAGCAGTAAGGGGCTCAGCATACAGCCCTGGCGTGTTCCCGTATGACATGTGAAATAATCACTCAGTCCATGTTCATTTCTAACTCAGGAGTTTAGTTTGAACCAAAAACCAGTAAAAACGTTCTCCCGACTGTGATAAGTATACAAAAAGAACTTAGTTAAGCACCCCCTGACCTGCGCCCCCTGACCTATCTCACGATTGACTGAGCCCCGATCTTAACCCTTTGGAGCATATCTGGGACGTGATTCGTCGTCGTGTGTAACAAAGGGATCCTCCTGTACAGAACCTAGCCCAATTGGAAGCTGTTTTACACGAGGTGGTGGTGGAGGAATTGGGTTTAACCTCGTGCTTGAGAATATTTCGCTCATATGACGACGTGCATGCGTGTGTATGTGTATGTGCGGCTGCTTGTACTAGCCAAGACTGAAGTTGGTTTTATAGTGCTAGCCCACTGAGATACCATGCCGCAGTGAAGCATGAATACCCCACTCAGACACATTATACTGACTTCGAGCCGACCAGTCCTTGTTGTACCCATTAATGCCGAGCGCCAGGCAGGGACCAACAAGTACCATATTTTAACGTCTTTTGGTATGACGCGGTCGGGGATCGAACCCGCGACCTTCCGCACTCCGGGCGCACGCTCTAACCACCACACCACGGAGGCGGTTAGTTTTACACGAGGAATGGCGTAGACAATCCCTTCAGAGGATCAGGAGGCTGACAGGGGGTATGAGGAGGAGGGTGCTGGCTGTCATACAGTCACATGGAGGTTACACGCGGTATTGACCTTGAATCATGTAAGGCACGCAAAATGACATTTTGAATGTTCAGATTCACCAATAAATTCAACATTAAACATTCCAGGGCCATACTTGTACAGGCATGGTTATGTATGAAAATCGGTGTTTCCTTAAAATGATCAATTATCATAATAAAATCAACATGGATTCCAATCATTTTGTCGTTTTCTATGAGTCAAAGGATCATACGGGTCAGAAAACTCATGTTTTTCCATCCTTGTCACCACGAGAAATTTTATGTACGTTTTGAGAGCATATCATTGCAAATATACAGGGGTGCTTAATTCAGTTATTTGTGGATACTTTCGTATCATAGTGGTACATGTATATCCTTTTCTGAATCTGGCTTGATTTTCATAAATAATACTATTCGTTTGAGACCACGATTGTAAACGTCCATTGAGTATTTTTGTGAAACGTTTCCAATCACCGGTAATAAAGAAAGATAATTCTGTACATCATTTATAGATCATTTCTTGTGAAAGGTATATATTATTACCTTCCCCTATTGTTTCGGGAAATATCCACTGTCTAATATTTATTTTGTAAATGTTGAACAAATACTGGAGCAATTTCTGTTTTCGACTGGTGCAATAGTTCAGCTGTAATCCCGTCACATCCAGGTGATTTCTTCCTTTTTGAGTTCTCAATACTACTGTTAGCTTCTGACAAAGTTATTGGTACATTAAACATCTCATTTCCTGTGTTCATAATACAGTCTTCGTGGTCATCGTCGTATCTGTCAATGTAGGTTTTAACTGTATCTTCTAATGTTGTAGAGTTTTCATAAGAGAAAAATCTTAATTCTGAGGATACCCACGGAAAGGTAGCTATATAGCTATATAGAAAATCTTAATTCTGAGGATACCCACGGAAAGGTAGCTATATAGCTATATAGAACAATCTTAATTCTGAGGATACCCACGGAAAGGTAGCTATATAGCTATATAGAACAATCTTAATTCTGAGGATACCCACGGAAGGTAGCTATATAGCTATATAGAACAATCTTAATTCTGAGGATACCCACGGAAAGGTAGCTATATAGCTATATAGAACAATCTTAATTCTGAGGATACCCACGGAAAGGTAGCTATATAGCTATATAGAACAATCTTAATTCTGAGGATACCCACGGAAAAGCTATATAGCTATATAGCTATATATAGCTATATAGAACAATCTTAATTCTGAGGATACCCACGGAAGGTAGCTATATAGCTATATAGAACAATCTTAATTCTGAGGATACCCACGGAAAGGTAGCTATATAGCTATATAGAACAATCTTAATTCTGAGGATACCCACGGAAAGGTAGCTATATAGCTATATAGAACAATCTTAATTCTGAGGATACCCACGGAAAGGTAGCTATATAGCTATATAGAACAATCTTAATTCTGAGGATACCCACGGAAAGGTAGCTATATAGCTATATAGAACAATCTTAATTCTGAGGATACCCACGGAAAGGTAGCTATATAGCTATATAGAACAATCTTAATTCTGAGGATACACACGGAAAGGTAGCTATATAGCTATATAGAACAATCTTAATTCTGAGGATACCCACGGAAAGGTAGCTATATAGCTATATAGAACAATCTTAATTCTGAGGATACCCACGGAAAGGTAGCTATATAGCTATATAGAACAATCTTAATTCTGAGGATACCCACGGAAAGGTAGCTATATAGCTATATAGAACAATCTTAATTCTGAGGATACCCACGGAAAGGTAGCTATATAGCTATATAGAACAATCTTAATTCTGAGGATACCCACGGAAAGGTAGCTATATAGCTATATAGAACAATCTTAATTCTGAGGATACCCACGGAAAGGTAGCTATATAGCTATATAGAACAATCTTAATTCTGAGGATACCCACGGAAAGGTAGCTATATAGCTATATAGAACAATCTTAATTCTGAGGATACCCACGGAAAGGTAGCTATATAGCTATATAGAACAATCTTAATTCTGAGGATACCCATGGAAAGGTAGCTACCCTTTAGGTCAGCCACGATTAAGATTCGATTAAACAACAAACAAATAAACCAAAACGTGCAGGTGGTGGGATCGGAAAATGCATACAAACTATATACGATGATTAAAGGGAACCATTTGGAACCCAGAATCTGGTTTACTGTCAGTTTTAACTCGAAACTCATCAGGTGTACCTACCTCATATATACTGACAATACCTAAGGGGTACAGAAGTGGTAGACAGGTATAGACTCCGGCCACGTAGGTGAAACTCCGGCTAATAAACAGGTAGACGATCATGGTTCCATATGTGTATATCTCAGCCGGGTAGCCCATCAAGGACACTGCCGACTGCAAGGTCACAAACATGGATACAGCCACGGAGAACACTCCCATTTGCCGGTTCCCCAGAAGGTAGGTCTCTCTTGTGTTCTTGCTTCTTATAGCGAAGAACACCCCGATGCTGAACGATAAGGCCAGCATCACTCCCCATGACAATGTAATCGGGGGTGTTTAGAGTCTGCATTTTCATCTGGAACACAAAAGATGCAAATTACAAATGTAGAAGAAGTAAACGTTACTTTTAAGACGTCCATCATGATCCCGGATGTTGGGAACTTGTGACTTGTTAACACAACAATGAGTATTATGATACTTGCTTGCAAGTCCAAGGCACATTACGTTGAATAAAAAAGAAAGACA